TGGAACACACCCTGCGGCCCCCCATTTTAATAAGGGGACCACCATCCTGGTCTGCCAGTCCAGTGGGACTACCCCCGATGTCCATGCAATATTGCTGAGCCACGCCAGCCAACACAGCCCCATGACATCCAGAGCCTTAAGGAACTCCGGGCGGATCTCATCCACCCCTGGAGCCTTGCCACAGAGGAGCTTTTTAACCACCTCAGTGACTTCAGCACCAGAGATTTGAGAGGCCAACCCAAAGTCCCCAGACTCTGCTTCCTCACTGGAAGACGTGTCGGTGGAATTGAGGAGGTCTTCGAAGTATTCTGCCCACCAATCCACAACGTCCTGAGGTCAGCAGCACACCGCCCCCACTATAGATAGTGTTGGTATCGCACTGCCCCCCCCCCCCCCCCCCCCCCCCCAGGCGCCAGATGGTGGACCAGAATCTCCTCGAAGCCGTACTGAAGTCTTGCTCCATGGTCTATCTGAACTCCTCCCATGCCCAGGTTTTTGCCTTGGTGACCACCCGAGCCGCGTTCCGCTTGGACTGCCGGTACCCATCAGCTGCCTCTGGAGTCCCACAGGCCAAAAAGACCTGATAGGACTCTTTCTTGAGCTTGACAGCATCCCTAACCGCCGGTATCCACCAGCGGGTTCGGGGGTTGCCACCACGACAGGCAATGACGATCCTGCGACCACAGCTCCGGTCGGCCGCCTCAACAATGGAGGCACGGAACAGGGTCCATTCAGACTCAATGTGCCCCGCCTCCCCCAGAACATTTTGGAAGTTCTGTTGGAGGTGGGAATTGAAGCTCCTTCTGACAGGAGACTCTGACAGACGTTCCCAGCAGACCCTTGCGATACGTTTGGGCCTGTCTGGTCTGACCGGCATCCTCCCCCACCATCTGAGCCAACTCACCACCAGGTAGTGGTCAGTTGACAGCTCCGCCCCTCTCTTCACCTGAGTGTCCAAGACATGTGGCTGCAGGTCAGATGAAACAACAACAAAGTCGATCATCGAGCTGCGGCCTAAGGTATCCTGGTGCCAAGAGCACATATGGACACCTTTATGTCTGAACATGGTGTTCATTATGGACAATCCATGACTGGCATAGAAGTCCAATTACAAAACACCACTCGAATTCAGATCAGGGGGGGCGTTCCTCCCAACCACACCTCTCCAGGTCTCACTGTCATTGTCCACGTGAGCGTTAAAGTCCCCCAGCAGAACAAGGGAGTCACCGGAAGGAGCGCTTTCCAGCACCCCCTCCAAGGTCTCCAAAAAGGGTGGGTAGTCTGAACTGTAGTCTGGTGCATAAGCACAGACCACAGTCAGAACCCATCCCCCCACACGTAGGCTGAGGGAGGCTACCCTCTCATTAGCTGGGGTAAACCTCAACGTACAGGCACCAAGATGGGGGGCAACTAGTATGCCCACCCCTTCTCGGCGCCTCTCCGTGTGAGCAACTCCAGAGTGGTAGAAAGTCCAACCCCTCTCAAGGAAACTGGTTCCAGAGCCAGAGCCATGCGTTGAGGTGAGTCCGACTATATCTAGTCGGAACCTCTCAACTTCATACACCAACTCAGGCTCCTTCCCCACCAGAGAGGTGACATTCCATGTGCCAAGAGCCAGCTTCTGTAGCCAAGGATCAGACCGCCAAGGTCCCCGCCCTCGACTACCACCAGTCACACACTGCACCCAACCCCTTTGGCCCCTCCCACGATTGGTGAGTCCATGGGAAGGGGGACCCACGTTTCCTCTTCGGGCTGTGCCCGGCCGGGCTCCATGGGTGAAAGCCCGGCCACCAGGTGCTCGCCAATGTGCCCCACCTCCAGGCCTGGCTCCAGAGGGGGGCCCCGGTGACCCACGTCCGGGCGAGGGAACATGGTTTCCATTTATATAATTGATCATAAGAGGTCTTCGGGCTGCTCTTTGTCTGATCCCTCACCTAGGACCTGTTTGCCATGGGTGACCCTACCAGAGGCAGAAAGCCTCAGACAACTTAACTCCTAGGATCATTGAGACACTCAAACCCCTCCACCACGGTAAGGTGGCAGCCCAGGGAGAGGTCGAACCTGGCGTGACTCTTGAAAATGAGAATGGGGTTGATGAAATCATCAGTCATTGATGATTGATGATGTGAACTTAACGTTCTGCTGCTTGAAAAGCTAAGTTACTCTTCATTTTCCACCACACGCTGGGCTGGCTAAGCAAAGAAATGGACTCATACCTCAATCTGTCAGCCTAACACGTCACACCATTCAGAGAAAATAAGAAGTTGAGTTGTTGGCGTCTAAAACTCAGTTATAAATCCAGCCAGGTAGCTTCTAATTCCTGCATAAGGTATGTGATAGACCCACTTCGAGTGTAATAAAAGCATTCGTAGGAGTTCCCTGCTCATGATGAAAAAAAGGAATTTTATTCATCTTCAGTAGCTTTAATTTGAGGTCTCTGAAAGGCAGTGTGAATTTATGGGATGGTTAATGAAGGGTAATGTTATCCTACGAGGATATAGAGTGAAGATGAAATGTTATCGGTTCAAATATGACCTTGGAAGAAGTCATCAGGAAGAAAACCACTTCTGCAACCTCAGATAGACACTTGTAATGGAAATTTAAACCATCCTGGTGTGTTCTGGAAGGTTTTGTGTAGAAAAACTGAAATTTTGGCTTCAATTAGCAAACATATGTTTAGGGAAACAGGTACCATTTGTCCTTATGTAGTAAAATTGTCAATATTGGCTTGGTCGGTGTTGACTTATTGTACAATATTGTTTGCTTAGAGAGGGATTTGACTCAATACTTTTAATAATTTAACAGCAAATAACTGATACTTCTGAAAATAACAAAAAAAAATGATAATGACTCAAAGAACAAGAGCATGTGTGTGAATGATGGACAAAATCCTCAAAACAAAATCATTTTTGGCTGCTCCTTTTGGTTTTACCATCAAAATGAATAAAATAAAATTATCTTCATTCATTTTTATTTTTTAAATAGAAAATAACTGTGGCGTGCCTAATTTTAAGCTTTTTGGAAATGAGGTCATCTTTTCTTCACTTAGTCATCCAGAGCAAACAGGAATTATGTCGGTGGTGTCCTTCGTAATTTGCATACCAATGTTCCCCCGGGCAGGTTCCTTCATCGCTGCAGATTAAAGCTTTTGTTGCAAATATTTCCCTGGACACCTGATTATAGATACCAGTCATAATCAAAGTCGCCATCATCCTCTCTGTGTCATGCAACAAGCCACCCCTAGAATACGCTAACCTCCTGCTCTAGGGAGGCTTCATCCGAGGAAGACCAGAAGGAGGAAGATGAAGCAAGGAAATCCAGCGAGAAGGGAATTGAGGCGTTCCCTCCTTTCACCACATAGGCTGCGTGCATCCCTTTGATGTTAAATACGCGAAGAAATCTGACTCTAATGTGAGCTGGGTGAAATGTTGCTAAATGATGCAACAGCAGCATAAGGTGATTAGTATTACAGCTCAAACACAAACCCTAGAACCATAAAGTCACTGGTTAACTAGTTGGACAGACACGATTTAGCCATGAAACTGTTTTATTCATAGGGTTCCCCTATAGGTTACTAAAAATGTTTCTACTGATGCACAGATTCTTGTTTTGAGGGTCGACTCTGACTTCTGATTTTTAATTTATTATTATTTTTTTGCATATTTGACATGCCAATACCAATTTATCTTAAAGAAATATAATCAACAGAATTTTGTTTTCATTAGGGTTTTTCTTCTTAATTTTATGATTGAAAATAACGATTCAGGAAGAGACCACATTCTTGTTTTTGCTATAGCACAGTGAGTTCAAGGACAAGGAAAATACAACTGCTCAGCAATGGTGCATTCACATATCCAAAAATACATCAGAATTTGAGATTCAGATAGATCAGACTGAATATTGTCAGATTATAATCACCAAATTATTTTTCTTAGAAATGTACGCATTTTAACAGTAAAAAGTGTAACAAAGACCTGTGCAATTTCTGTGTGAAACATGTAGCCTATGTGGACATTTTATGCATAATGTTCTCTAACAGGTGATAATCATAGGCATCTAGTCCTTAATTTTCTCAGTTTTCACTTTATTGGGGGGGGGGGGGTATTCTGGGGAGCAAATATGTCTCAAACAAATGTTGCTCCTGTCTCCTGTTTACAGCATTTCTGTAAGATGGTGTGATACATTTGTTTTTGTTTTACTCAAGTCTGATCATTTCAAGGTGAACAGAGTGGAGGGACTTATAAGCTGTACTCCATGATCATTAATGCTGCTGATCTCTTCAGTTGTGAAGCTGAGCACCAACAGCCACGTCGTTGTTGTTTGTGTTGCATTAAAATGAAGCAATTTTCAGTTAGAATTTGTTTTTGTTTTTCTCACTGCCCCTTTACAAAAGCAGCTCAGCCAAAGCAACAAAAATTTAATTTAAATAAAATAAAACATCACTGCTGCGCCTCAACAATGCGTGTGACAGAAGTCCAAGTCGAATTTTCTGGCTGCTGTTGTGTTTTGTTCAGAGTCCATTACCAGCCTCCGGTTTTTGCTTTTACAAGGATTTGCAAGTCAGCTGCACATTTAAATGCATTAGACAGCATTAGGCATGATGTATCACCTGTCGGCCCAGGACAGAGTACTACCGGGTCATTAAAAGGTCCATCCATCATCATCCATCAAGAAGAGGCGGATACACAAAAGCAGATTGGGAAACAAATGTGCTTTAGAGAGAGGATGCAGGAGGGTGAACTATGTGGTCAGTGCTGCAGAGAAAATGCTGATTCTGATGCTCTTGGCTTTAAAAAGCAAATTAAGTCCACACATGGAATTTACTTTATGGTTAAAGACATCTTGAGTCATCCTTTATAGTTAAAATTTACATTTAATGATTTAAAACGTTTAAAAAATGTTTTCCTTTGCTGTTTTTTTTTCTTTGGGGGGCGTTCAGGATCGTGTACTGTGACCCAGTTTCAGGCTCCTCAGGGTGCACTAAGGTGTTACCAACTCACCTGCTGGCGACCTGTCTCTCTCCTCCATGGTCCTGCATCCGCTCGCTGAGCAGAGCTGCTGCGCTCCGCTCCGACCTTCCAGCTGATAACGGATCTCCCTGCAGCTATTGATCAGTGAAATAAACCGAGTCTACTTGATTAAAAACCTTGTTGTTTGCTTGAGTTCAGTCTGTCTTCTTCCGTCTAGCCAAGGTTTTTTTTTCTGAGTTTGGTGTAATCAGAGCCTGATACGGAGCTGCAGGACGCAGGTTCAGGTCTCTCCTCTGGTCCTAACCTGCTGCGTGTTTATCTCCTGCTCCTCCGGCGGTACGCTGGACCCACTTCAGCGATACGAGTCCATCCATTCACATCCGCGCACTGTAGGCGCCTCGGCAAAGCTCTGATCTCTGCAGCGTAGAGCACAAACACATCTTCATGCCTCCTCTCCGACTGAAGCCAGCTGTCATTGTCAGTCTGTCCGGTGAGACTTCAGAGTTGGGGAGGGGGCTGTTTGTTTCAGATTTCCACCTCTGCTGGTCCTGCCAGTCGGCTCCCTCATTGTTCACCGTCTCCTCCCTCCGGCAGACCAAACACGCTCACGTGTTGTCCTGGGTCCTAGCGCCTCCACACGACCTGCATCCATCCTAAATTAGGGGCAGGGGATGTTTTTGATTCATGCTCTGAAAGAACAAACTGCTCCACTTTGGCATTATCCATCAGCACCTTGAGTCCACTTCACACACTTTGCCAAAATGTCATCTAGAAACAACAGAGTAAGACTTTGAATTGTGCTTCCCTTTATATGAGTAAGAACAGACCTCCTGCCAGGCTTGTTTACCACAACTAACAACAGATCAGAGTAAAGAGCAGCCTCAACATGTCAATGAACTTTTGCTCTGATTATTTTCATTTATGACCTCTGCATGCTTTGTGGTAGCATTTAGCAATATTTTAATGCCGTGCTTCTTCCAAGTGGCAACGCTCCAGAAAAAAGGAAGAAAAATGCCCCTTACATCTCATCCCTGTAATTCCATTTATTGTTCATGTGATCAATCGATCCATTAGAAATTTTTATTTGGTCAATTAATGTCCAAGTGTTTTAGACTAATGTGAGATTAACTATAAATTTAAATTTTATCCTAATCCATAATTTACTGGGTTTTGATGATAATCTATGCTGATTCTAGTCATTCATGTTCCGACTCACACTACTGACCTCACTCGAGGTGCAGCTGTTACACCTCCTGTCTGTTTGCAGACTTACTATCCAGGATGAAACGCCTCCTCGGTGATCAATCCCTCACGTTTGCTGATGACACAACAGTAATCGGCCTAATCTGCAACAACAATTCTTATGAAATTCCAAACGACTGTTTTATTTCTTCCCACCTCAGCAGCGATGGCACATTGCAAGAGACCCTGCTTATGCAGTTTTTAACAACCTAACCACGCAAAAAAAAAGAAGTGTTTGTTTGCCTTTGCCATCAGAGCAACATGACATTGTGGCCACCTGACATGAAATGCTAATGAATTCAAACTTTTGCTCAAATTTGGTCTTTTAAAGCCAACTTTTGCACAGCCTGAAACAGCCTGTTTCAGTGTAAGCATCGTTTTCAGTAAACTACATGCTCAGAAAATGTTTTGTCTCACTCCCCGTTCTTCTTGTTGCATGTTGAAGCTCTACTTGGGACCATGTTAAGATCCAACTATGCAAAATATGATTTTTGGTCTCGAAGACATACTGTGCAACTTTTTATATATTTAAATAATTCTCTTGAGCCACTGTGTGCTAAAATGACCATTTACAGGGTCATTGAAATGTCACTCAGACCCCATCGCCTTCTTTGGCCAGAATATCACATTTGCAAGTCCCTACTGGTGGAGGGAGCTGTGAAGTGAAGTGGTGCTGTGGTCTGCTTCCAGCACGTTTCCTGCAAGTTTTGATTGTGAACACAGCTGATTTTTTTAAAATGATGAATCATTCCTATAGACACGAATGAAGGCTGAGGAGACCTTTCAGCAGTTAAAAAGACAAACTCACAGCAAGGATAAGTTTCGTTTTTGGTTTCACTAAACCAAATACTAGGGGCTGCTAAAGGCAAGCCAAAATTGCCTAGTGTCCCTTTAAACGTTTGATCAGGACTGTGTATAAATAACAGTCTCACATTTTTGTTTCAATCAGTCATTCTTTCATCTGAGTGTTTACAGCCCTGTTTGAATTTTAAGTAAATTGTGTGCTAGTGGTTAGGTAAGGAACTGATTGCTATGGGGTTGACGTTTCCTCAGAAGTTGGAAATTTGTATTGTAAGCATGTGGGTTGTCGGTTCATACCCCAGGCTCATCCAAGTCAGAGTCGTTGTGTCCTTCAGCAACACACTTCTCCCTCCTTGCCTGGAGCCCTGGACTCAGATAAGTGCCATACAAATGTGGGCCATTTTACAGTCCATCCATCCATCCATCCATTGTCTTCTGCTTATTGGGTGACGGAGGCAGCAGCCGAAGTCGAGAGACCCATACTTCCCTCTCCCCAGCCACTTGGGCCAGCTCCTCCGGAGGAATCCCAAGGCGTTCCCTAGCCAGGTGAGAGACATAGTCCCTCCAACATGTCCTGGGTCTACCTTTAGGCATCCTCCCGGTTGGACGTGCCCAGAAAACCTCACCAGTTCTTTTGGTCACTACCCAAAGCTTATGACCATGGGTGAGGGTAGGAATGCAGATGGGCCGGTAAATCGAGAGCTTCGCCTTCTGACTCAGCTCTCTCTTCACCACAACAGACTGGTACAACGCCCACATCACTGCAGCTGCAGCACCAATCCGCCTATCGATCTCACAATCTTTCCCTCACTCATGATCAAGATCCTGAGATACTTTAGGCAGGACCTCATCCCTGACCCGGAGAAGGCATTCCATCCTTTTCGGACACGAGACCATGGCATCGCGCTCCAGTTTTCCCTCACTCATTTCCCAGGGAAAACTGGTGTTCTTTAATAAGTCATATTAATGTTCACACAAACCCTAAATTTTTTGTTTTTCATGAAAATTAATAAAGGAGTATTTATTGTATCACTACAGGCTAAACTTTCCCAGAGTTACTGCGAGGATCATTTTCATGCGCCATCCCAAAAATTTCTCAGGCCCCATGTCCACCTCTATGAAATTTTATTAGGGGCGCCACTGGTCCCTCAGCACCGTCATACCCTCCCAACCTTCTCTGCATTTCTCCTTTAGCATCCTTGAAACAAAGGTAGCATCTGTGGAACTCTTTCTTAGCATCAAACATTCCGCTGCTCTAAAATGTTCACTTCTGACCGAAGCCATAGCTTCCACCACTCTTTCCCATAGCTTCAGTGTATAACTCCTTAGCTTTGTTCCTCCCTAGTTCTCACAATTTTGTAAGCCATCTCTACTGCCATGTTTTTAATCACAAAAACTGTGAATAAAAAATAGTTGCAGAAAATAATATTTTATACATTGCTGAGTGGTGAATTGTGCTATTTTTAGAACAGGCCTAAGTGCTCCTGGGGGCTGCCAGGGTGATGACCCCTGCCCTAGGCAGTAAAGGTAGTAGTAGACTTGTAACAGTAGTAGTAGTAGTAGTAGTAGTAGTAGTAGTAATAGTAGTAGTAGTAGTAGTAGTAGTAGTAGACAAAATAAAGTATGAAATATTATCTCAAAGTTAAAATGAAGAGACTCAAATGAAACATTTTTCTTAAAATACAGAGTTGCAGATGCAGTAACTAGTGTTAGAACAAGACGTAGTAATTAAAGTTTTCTTTCTAGACCTCACATGGAAGCAACAATGCAGGAGGATGGTGAAGCTCAAACCTTGAGGCCAGAGGAAAAGTTAAGAGGGCTTGGAAAACAGAAAATAAAAGCGACATTTTAAGATGTTTTGGTCCCCGTGGAAGAGAGGGGTGGACATTGAATTGCTGCATTTAGGTGTCCCACGCTGCAGGCAAACACGTGAGGAAGCAATGGAGTTTCCTTGGGGTTATCGCTGAACCACGGGGGTCATAAATCATGGTGAAGAGAGAGCATGGTGCTTTGTCAGCAGATGGCATAAGGGTCACCTCATCTCTCTCTCTGAATGAGCTGTGAACAGTGCAGGTCCTGTGTGTCTTCTCTCCTCAAGTCCTCAGACACCAGATTCCTGTTGACGTTTTTTTATGTACTTTTGTGTGTCACCAAGTTTCCGCCTCCTTCAAAAGCATGGCCTTTTTGTGGTAAATTTATCTTCGTATCCTAAAACCTCAGGAAGACATTCTTGGGTTGATTTATTTGCACTATGACATTTAAAAATTTTGGGCCTAAAGTTTACACTGACCTTCTTTTAAATCAAATTCATGACAAAACAGTCCTGAGTTTGTCCTTTGTGAACACAAACTTAGTTTTTTTTTTCAAAGTTAAGCAAGATTTACAACCAATGCAGAATTTAGAAATATTCTTACAGAATTAAAAAGCTTAAATTAGATCTTGAAAAAAAGTATTATTTATTTTAAGTAAAGATGTGTTAAAAACCTTGTGTTGGATGTCATCTCAGAACTAAGTTGGTGTATCAGAACAACAACAAGCCAGTGATGGAATATTTTACTTTTTAGCTCACAAACTTGAGTAAAAGAAATAAGCATATGGGTCTGTTACAAGTTCAAACGTACAAATAATTTAAATAATTCTGACAGAATATTTTTTTCAAATGGTAAATGGCCTGTATTTGATATAGCGCCTTCTAGAGACCTGGAACCCCCCAAGGTGCTTTACAACAGAATCAGTCATTCACCCATTCACATCCTGGTGGTGATGAGCTACACTGTAGCTACAGCTACCCTGGGGCACAGACAGAGGAGAGTCTGCCGTACACTGGTGCCACCCGTCCCTCTGACCACCACCATCGGGCAAGAGGGGTTAAGTGCCTTGCCCAAAGACACAATGACAGCGACAGACTGAGCGGGGCTCGAACCTGCAACCTTCCAATTATAGGGCGAGCACTTAACTCCTGTGCCACTGTCAGAAATCATTTTTACAAAACATATAATTGGATTTTAACAATTATTGCAAAATGAAAACAATTAGCCCAATTAGGCTACTGATATTGTGCACTATTTCAAATAATTTATTAAAATTTTCATGCAACAAGGCTGGAAAAAAATTCACTTAGAAATTTGGAGAAGATTTTAAATAACAAAAAAGAAAATCGCAATTCTGTTGAAAAAGAAAAGTACTCAAAAATATCTGTTGACCCTTTCATTGTTTCATTGGCTAAACGGAATAAAAACTCAAATTTTGCTAAATGAGATAAATAAAATCAAACCTTAGCAAGAGCCAGAAATCATGTCCTCTCTATACAAGACTCTGATGTAACAGTCTGGCCACTAGACCACTCACAATGCTATCACAGAGCATTAGAGCTGTGGTAGATACGCACACAGAAATATATTTTAAATAATAATGTAACAAAATCCCTGATTACAATCCCTGACTGACTATTTGCAAGAAGATTCAAACTTTCCACGATTACAATCCTAAATGCATTAAGGCCTGAATATTTGACACCTTGTTTCAGCAATTTAATGAATATGTAATATCTGAGAATCTCTAAGGTTTTCCATGATAATATATTATAATACAATACAATACAATACAATACAATGCAATAGAATAGAATAGAATAGAATAGAACAGAATATCTTTAATTTATCTCAAACATATTATCCCTTGCTTCAGGTTGGTTTGTTTTATTATTAGTATTTATTTATTCATTTTTTATTGTAAAATTGGCACTGTTGCAGTTCACACTCATCACTCATGGTCATGGAAAGAAAAATAAACTAAGACCACACAAAGTTTCCTGTGTTTTGAAATGCCCATGTTCTGACTCATGTTTACTCCTTATATTACCTTTTAATTTTCTAACGTTTCTGGTGTTTGAGCACAAAAAAATGCACATGCAAAACTTCCTAGAAATATTATATAATATTTTGCATGTCCCAATTTTTATTTTTTTTTTACAAGAATTTCATCCTTGGCTTCAGCCTTAATAAAATATAATTAAAAAATTGTTCGTTTCTGAGATTAACCCCTTTATTGCCAGGTATATGATCAATACTAGAATTGTAAATGATTCTTTTTTATTTAAAAAATAAAGACGTTTTTTGTGTGCTATGTAGAGATGAATGCAACGTTAGTTATTTTCCCGCTATAGATAGGGAAAATGCGCAATCTGGTGGAAAACATTAAAAACTAAAAATTGAGTCTGCAATTGCCCTGCGAACCCAGACAGAATAATAAAAATTATATATATATATATATATATATATATATATATACACACACACACACACACGCATTCTCCCCCCAAAATAGATAAATTGCAGCAGCATAGCGAAAATTATTCTCAAAAATACACCTGTCTGCCCCACAAAATGCACTTAGTTCACATAAGGGTTACGGTTCTTACTCACAAGTTGTAAAATATAAAATGGACACGTTCAATCTGTCAACCAATCTCGCGTTAGTCTTGGCAAGAAAAAAAACTTCATTTCCCACAATGCTACATGCCGGTGCTTGTTGATGACGTCATAGGAGTGCGCATGTAACCTTGTGTTTTACACAAATGTGAACCCAGCTTTAAACAGGGTTAGTGTCGTGTTTGGTGGTTAGAGGCATTCTGGAGTGATGAGTAAATACATTCTACCGGTTTCCGTGTTTGGGACGGTGTTTGGCTGCGCTGTTCTATTGAAGTGAGTAAACTTTGCATGTGATGTAACTCGGATGCTGTTGCTGCTCAGATGAAGTACAGTGCATCATGTTTATGCCACAGGGATCTTTGAAAGCTGCTATATTGAGTGTTTGGTATCCAAAGTGTGTTTAATAATTCACATTTTACCTCTAATTACTGCTCTGCTTGTGTCAGAATCAACTATTGAGTCCAGTAGAGGAAAGTCACAAGATTCGGCCTCATTTAACTGAACAGGCTTTAATTTCAGAACAAATTCCCAAACAGTCCATTCTGAACATCATCACACATAAAGCAGATCATCCTGCAATGTTTATGACTCTGAAACAAATCTTAGTTCAGACAACCTTCAACCCACTCAGAAAACGGAGACAAAGATAAACGAGGTCCTGTAGAATAGCAGAGTTACAGTTCATCCGGGTTTTTGTGTTTGTTTTCCTGCCTTATCTGGTTGAGACGACTGAGTCAAAATCAAGTTTCTGCAGGTCTTGATGAAAGGCTGACAAACAGCCAGCCACAAATGCTGTAGGAATTCTGCACAACGTAAACACAAATCATACACCAGACTCAAATTATTCTGCATGTTACTGTTCTGATACCTGCAGTGCCAAATAAATGTCACAATCTAGCTTCTCCAGCTCCAACGAGCCTAGCTAAAACTGCTGCACTGTGCATATGTTTCCACAGAGGAAACTCGAACAATAGAATATGGTGCAAAAGTCCAGTTATGTCAGTAATTCAACTTAGACTGAGAAACCATCTAAAGGGTCAGGAAGCATCTGCAGGTGTTCTGGATTCATCAGCTGATTAGAGTGCAACACTTTAGAATATTGAACCTTTTCACAATATTCTAATAGTCTGAGATTTTGAATGTGGGGTTTTCATCAGCTGTACACCATAATCATTACAATTAAATAAAGGCTTTAATATCTGGATTTGCCTGTGATGACTCAATAAATGATAAATGACCCGCACTTGTATAGCGCCTCTCAGATTAAGGACTCCAAAGTGCTTTACACTACAGTGTATCATTCATCCATTCACACACACTTTCACAAACTGATATACAATATATTAGTTTCACCTTTTAAGTTGAAAAAGTGAAATAAATGAACTTTTGCACCCTACTCTAATGTTTAGAGTTTAACTCTTGATGAGTTGTCCTTTCTTGTCCCACTTTAAAAAGTCATTCACAGGTTGCAGCCCTTTAGAGCACGCTTGGTTGTTTATAAACTGCAGTTTTTCTCACGGTCAACTCACATTTTTGTTATTGCTGCTAATTTTGAAGGGTAATTTTTACTTTTTGTATTTTACATGTCATTGTAACAAGATAGTAACCTTCAGAGATCCGTGGTTTTCATTTTATGGCTGATTTGTTGTGTTAGTTTTGCAAGTGGACTTGAGGGGCAGCTCTAGTTTAGCTTGGACTGAGACATTTTCATTAATACCAGTTTTCAATCAATCAATCAATCAGATTGTATTTATGAACCACTGTTCATGGTCAAATCTGCACAAAGTGCCTCACATAATAAAAACAACAATACACACTCATGTAAAACATGGCCTTTGCACACCATTGCAAAATGAAAAGTACAAACTATTGAAGTCACTCATGCAGTCAAAGTGCTCCCTCATCATACACACACACACACACACACACACACACACACACACAGTGTATAGCCCCCTACCCACCAACACCAGGCAGCATAATCATGGCAGAAAAATAAATTAAAAAATGAACAGTCTAAAGTCATGATGACCATGCTGTTATGAACTCGGGTGCCTGACAAACATCATTTGTTTTATGTGTTTCCTCTCAGAAGCCATGTGACTGGTGGCCGGTGTCCCAGTAAGGCTACAATTAAAGGAAAGACTGTGATTATAACTGGTGCCAACACGGGCATCGGGAAGGAGACGGCTCAAGAGCTGGCCAAGAGAGGTGTGGAGACATAGGTGTTGATTTGTTCCCAAAAGGGACAGCCTCGTTTATGCTGTCACTAATCTTTCCTGTGTTTCCAGGAGGTCGGATCATTATGGGATGCCGTGACATGGAGAAGTGTGAAGCAGTAGCAAAGGATATCCGAGGGAAAACTCTGAATCCTCATGTTTACGCATGTCACCTTGACCTTGCCTCAATGAAGTCTATCCGAGAGTTTGCTCAGAGAATCAACCGAGGTGATGAAAGTCAATCTGACTCTTTTTTTGATGGAAAAACAGAAAGCAGCAATCCCGAAGACAGATTTTCAAATATCAGGGGTGTGTCTTGGCAAGAATGTGGCTATACGATATTTATCACAATATATCGTGATACTAAAATCCCGACAATATCTACAACTTGTAAGACTGAATTTAACAGGAAAAACTCAGGCCAGACACTTCCAAAACACGTCCACATCTCTGAAAATTGTTGTTCCGACAGAATGAAGGAAGTAAAAACTGCTGCCACCTAGCAGTTGGAGTTTCAATTACACCCAACAAAAAATACAGTCAATTTTTTCATGTGAATTCTCAATAAAATATAAAATCAATACACTGTTTTAATTATGGATTCAGTATCATAACACAAAATATGGCCATATTTTATTATATCAGCAATTTCTTGCATCCTTTTCCAATATGGTTGTAATGCAGAGGAGGACCGTGTGCACATACTGGTAAACAATGCAGGAGTCATGAGGTGTCCAGAGGGCAAGACGGAGGATGGTTTTGACATGCAGCTTGGAGTTAATCATTTAGGTAAGGCTGGTAAATCTGGTAGCTGTGAAGCACCCAAACACTTCTGAGTAAAACTTCCCCTACTCTGTGATTAACTGGTGCGTCTGACTTCCTCCAGGACACTTCTTATTGACAAACCTCCTCCTGGACAAGTTGAAAGAGTCTGCCCCCAGCAGAGTGATCAACCTGGCCTCGCTCGCCCACATTATAGGAAAGATGGACTTTGACGACTTGAACTGGGAGAAGAAGAAGTTTGATACCAAGCAGGCGTACTGTCAGAGCAAACTCGCCAATGTTCTGTTCACCAGAGAACTCGCCAAGCGCTTGGAAGGCGAGTTTACAGGCTGCTGAAAATGTGGGCATGTGTGGGAGGGAAGTGTGGCCTGTGTTTATGATCAGCCATGTGTGTGTGTGTGTGTGTGTGTGTGTGTGTGTGTGTGTGTGTGTGTGTGTGTGAAACAGGCACAGGGGTCACAGTGAATGCTGTACACCCAGGAGTTGTTGCCACAGAGCTAGGGAGACACACTGGTCTGCACAAATCACCGTTCTCCAGCTCTGTGCTCAGTGAGTATCTGTCTTTTGTTATTGAACTGTGAATTCAGGCAAATCAATAAATGCTCACCTAATGCACAGTTAGCAGCTGCCTGGAGCTGCGTTCTGTCGACCCAGACGCCAGACTTCTCAAGGAGAACAAATCTGTCAGTGTACTTCAACAGAAATGAAAGAAATAACTCTAAATGTCCTCTCCATTCGAGAAGTTTCACTTTTGTAGCTCCTGCGTTGTTTGTTCAGTTCTCTTTATTTGTCGTTTTTAAAGAGGCTTTCATTGAACATAGTTCATAAGGGAGAGTACATAATATAGTAAAATAAATTTTTATTTCTAGTGACAAAAATAAAATTAAAGAAATGTATTCTCTTCATACATATTTGTAAATTGAAAAAATATTTAGGTCAAGAAAAATAGACAGTGGCACGCAAAAGGCGGCCCATGGGCCGGATCTAGCCCACGAGCCCCCTCTTTGTGGCCCCCGAACCCCCCTCCTCAATGGCCGGCCCTTAAACTCGTAGGACATTTTAAATGTGGCCCTTGGCCACTTCAGCTAGTTTTCCAGGAGCACTACTCAGCCTAAAACAGCTCTGTACTGCGTGGTTTGAGTCAGCCCATCTCAGTGTACTTTTGTTCCCATGGCAGCTCCATGACAGAAAGTGGGTGCGCCCCTTATAAGTGTGGGGGAGGAAAAGGGGGAACCCTCGGCACTGTGGGATTTCTACTCGTGAAAAATAGCACGAGGGGATCAGTAAACAGTGTAATGTAACTTGTATCCTCCACAGAAACACAACTCAGCTGAAAAATGGTGGTGTTGCTGAACATTTTGCTCAGTTTTGTGGCTTTTTGTCAGACTCTGAACCAGGAAATGGCTGCAGGCAGTGAAACAGAAGGCAAAAAACTCCAGTGACTCCACCCCCCCAGTCAATCAACGGCCTGAATCATGTTGCCGGCCTAAAGCCTAATTTATACTTCTGCGTCGGGACGCACGCATGCCATTTTCCGTCCTTTCGAGGGCTTTCTGACAGGGTCGCGAGGATGGACGGAAACGAGCTCTTTTCTAAACATTCCTCCGTCGAGACCAAGAACGCAAGCTTGTGATTGGTCAGGAGGCCGCCATTGTCGACAGCGTCGCCATTGCGCCCTCAAAAACGTACAGAAAGCCGGGGATATCTAGCAGCAGACACGGAGAAGCTTGAAGAATACCTCATGGAAAAACTCTAAAATATGAACGTTTTGTTCCCCCATGACTGGATGAGTGAAAAGATACGCAGCAAGCGTTTTATTTCTGTACAGAAATGACGGGAAACGTGGGTTTAGTGGCATGAAGAGGTGGAGGAGGATGAGTGACAAATTTGTCCGTGTTTAAAAAAAAAAAAACAATATACCGTAAATCCTCTAATACAGGCCGGTATTCAATTAAAGGTCGGGTCTCCAATTCTGGCCGGTGTCTGAGTCAGCGGAGGTAAATAATGGCCGGTCTCTTATTGTGGCCGGATGGCATGTGGTAACAAGCAAGTACTAGCGTCCCAGCGGCATGGTTTTAGTCCCCAAATCAACCAGCAGGAGGCAGTAGAAGTTCACGCAGACCTTTTTTAGGCCTTTTCTTCAATGCTTTGTAACGCTACAGACACGATCCTCTATCACGCTCCTACCACACAGAGTCACGGTGTCAGTTAACCATGCTAATTCAACCCGCTCCACAGAACACACATCACCTTCCCTGTGGCTTACATAACACTCACAAAACATGCAAATCAGCACATAGGAACTAGCAGAACGATAGGAAACACATATAACACAATACCCAGAATGCACCTGGCTTACAACCCCAGCCAGGTCATTACACTATCAAGTTCAAAGAGAACGTGCTGATTATGCTGCAGAACACTCTGGGGAGCAGCAGTAGGGGGTGTATGAACTACAGTAATCCCTCGTTTATCGCGGTAGATGCGTTCCAGACCTGGCCGCGATAGGTGAAAATCCGCGAAGTAGGGACTCCCAGCATGCCCCTCGCGGGGATTCCCTTCACGTCGCACCTACGTCACAAACCGCGGCTATAAACGGAAGTCGCCTTTCCAGCTCACCACTCAGTCATCGTTTCTTCAGATTCACGATCAGAGTTTCCAACCTACCGATCAATCCAACGAACTATCAGCTCATAGTAAGTTATCTTACTTACTTACTTCTGGAAAGCCCGGCATTTCCGTGTCACTTCGTTGACGCTCGAACGCTCGGGGGTTTCCTAGAGCACCGACGCTATCACTTCCGCGTCTGTGAAACCACGCTCCCTATTGAATTATCGTATGATCACATTCTCTTTTTGGGGGTAAAACTCAAGTGCCGGACCGTAGGTACTGACACGCGATCGTTCATGTCGGTTAATTTCCTTTAATGTTTTCTGTCTTTTATTTGCGCCTGATGTCTATCGCTGCTGTGGAGCGGGGCGCTTCACCTTGTCCTCCGACGCACAGATCACAGCAGGGAGCGCTCAGCTGTTTTCGCGGTCGGTAGATCTGCCTCCTGAGCACGGCCACAGTAACAATCAGGTGTCGCCACCTCAAAAACTAATTTAACACGCGATCGTTCATGTCAGTTCATTTCCTTTAATGTTTTCTGTCTTTTATTTGCGCCTGATGTGTTTCGCTGCATGCTGTGGAGCGGGACGCTGCACGCATCACCTTGTCCTCCGACGCACTGATCACTGATACAGCCGCCAAACAGCGAGCGCTCCGCTGTTTTTGTGGTCGGTAGATCTTTTAGAACTGCAGTTCAAAGGTAACTCATGAGGTGAATATATATGAACCCAGGTAGCAGTTTTTCTTTAGGATTGAGAGGAGATGCAGGAAGATGATAAACAGACAGGACAGAAAAATAGTCAAATAAAAACAAGTTAGTTTTTGTACCTGCTGTTGCAACAAACAGACACCATTGAAGGTCATCAGAAGTGAGGAACAGAAAATGAAAATTATTTTAATGTTTAGAGCAGCAGGAACTCCGAGAGGCTGCAGGCGCATCAGTGAGCGCTGCGCAGGGGGAGGGGGGAGAGGGCTGAAGCAGGAACTACCGTTGTTAAAAGAAATGTGTTTAACTTTGAAAATGTGGGCGCACTTTTAATTGTCAAAAACTCCAGCGAACCATTAGTTCATTTTGCTCAAATGGAAATAGAGGCCTGCCTCTAATACTGGCCCTCCTTCCAATAAAGGCCTGGAGCTTGATGAGCTTGAGTCAAATACAAGCCCGGGCCTGTATTAGAGGATTTACGGTAAACACACTATCTTGGACTGGGTACATGACAGGATATCACAGAACAGCGCTACGCCCTCTGTTGTCCTGGCGGGGACACTCCCCAGGAGACGGAGAAGGATGAGGGCAAATTGTCTCCCATCTGTGCGTGCGTGTCTCTCCCTCGTGGAGCTGATGGAGAAGTATAAATTAGGCTTAACTCGGACTTGCCAGGTACCTCAACAGAGAAGGGACTAAAAATAGAGGAGAAAGTAGAGGGAAAATACCGAACCAAGCCTGTGGGAACAGCGGTCGGTCCATGCTGCATCGGTCTGAGTTGCTCTGAATAGTGTTCCTGGAAAACCACCTTTATATTTGAGTACCCCTGATTTAGATTTTAGATTGTCTTGAAATTTCATCAAAATAAATAGAATAAGTTGAACTTTTTATTTTTATATATTTTTTTGTTTGATCTTGCATTTTTAAACATTTTACTTTTGAATAATTTAGCAAACAAAAACAAATAGGGACAAATTTGTTTAAGCGACAGTGTGTATTTTCCCTAGCGATGAGGGCAGTACATGCCTAAATCGTTGCAAGCAAGCAGTATTTTGTGTTTGAGTAAGACCTAACCAACGGATGGCCATTTGGGTCAAAAATCTCTGGGAGTGCAACCTCCAGCAAAGTGACACACATCAGACTCCCTTTTATCACTGGCAACAAGCGAAGAAGTAAATGTGTAAAACAACGTTAATGAATGGCAAAACAGTTTTGTAACTGTTGGTTATAAATCAGTAAATGCATTTTGTCCTCACAGGCTCCCGTAGAAGGAAACACAACATCTAATATGGTGTCGCTCATAGACCAAGTCCCTCTCCCATGTGTTTTAGACCCAGTTTTTATGGTTTTATGTTACAAAGCTGTATATTTTTCAACAACTGGACATCATTTAATTCATTTTCAACAACATTTCTATGGATATTTCCAGAGATTAATGGTAAAAACTACACATTGTCTCTCTAATGTTGCATTGTGTCATATTTTCTGTTAAAAGAAATTACTTTTTTTTTATTTAAATGTATTAAATTAAAGTCAATCGTTATTGTCCACCAGGGTGAAGTCCTTCCTCTAGCTCACCAACACACAATTAGAATAAAAATAACGTTAAAAGACCTAAACACAACTATGTAGCAACTACTACATATTAATTATGACCAATAAGATGTGATATTCCATACAAATATGAAATATCAATCTGATTGATCTTTGAATGTTTAATCAGAAGATTCTAGGGTTCTTTGCTTATTCAGGGATCATAAACACACTTCGTAATAATTCAGACAGAGTCAGTATGTAGTTTATAAAATGAATTTGATTGTTGTTCCTAAACTAATGATACATGACAAGATATGAATAATGAGATGTGGTGTGGTGGATGTGAGGTGTTGTGATGGAAGCTAGATGTTGTAGCAACCGTTCTTTGTATCTGAGAGAAATTGTGAAATCTGGGTGTAAAAGAATTTGTTGTTTGTTATAAACTAGAGAGTTAGTTATTGATGAAAACCTCATCAGACACCAGTATGTAAGCTTACGATACCCTTGTATGAGTTGCTGCCGGAGGGTTGCGGTCAGAGTGGTGAGGTCACCGGACGTCGAAACCACAATACTCAGAGATTAGTAGCTTCCTCTGAGTTCAGCTTCCTCGACTATGAGATGCAACCCGGGGTCTACAGGTTAGGTGTGAAGTAGCTCTGAAAAGAGCTGTTGTGTCTGTGATCACTTGCAGCGTCGCAGAAAGGTTTTGACTTAAGGTCAAAGGAGTTTGTTTCAAAAGAGGCTTCTTTCCCGATTTGGCTGAATCAGGGCTCAGCTGGAAACTGAGTTACTCGGGAAGTAAATCCTGTTTTAATAAACTCATTATTTATAATTTCTGGTGTATTCTGGTAAATCAGAATGTGCCATGTCTGGAAGGCTTTACCAAAATGTTCCTCAGAAAGCCACGCCATCCTTCAGATACAAGACGTTTTTAACCTTAATCTTATTGTAATGTGTATGAGTGTAGATAATGATTGACTTGTTAAATCAAACACATACTGATTTATGAAATAAATGGATCATTGTAAGAACAATATTCATTTTAAACTCACTGGTTTAAGCACAGGTTATTGAAACATTTCATTTAAACATCTTGTTCATCCATCACATATGATTATTTAACTCATAACATCGTGGAGTCTTCACTTATTCAGAGTGAAGAATGTTGACGTCTGGCATTCATGCAGAGAGAATAGGACCTTGGGAGAGAATGTTTGTTTGAATGTTTTGTCTTCATGGAATGTCAACACACGCTGAACAGAACCTCCTGGTTCTGGAACGCCAAATAGAAAGTGGATTTATGCTGTAGATTAAAGGTTATTATGTTGATCAATATATATACCGGTAGATGAAAATTGAGCCTTTTGGACGTTACAACTAAATAAACAACATATTTGTTATGTTTGTTGTCCTTTTCTGCTCTACGGTGCTGTAGCTCACAAAAACTTCAACCTCCTGTTCCACAGGTCCTTTTTTCTCCCTTCTGGTGAAGGGTCCAAAGCTGGGGGCCCAGCCTAGCGTCTATCTGGCCGTAGCCGAGGAAATAGAGGGGGTGACGGGCCGGTATTATGACGTGATGACCGAAAAGGAACCAGCGCCTCAGGCCCTGAATGATGAGACAGCTCGCAGGCTGTGGGAGGTCAGCAGCAGGCTGGTGGGTTTGGAGGAGGAAGGACAGCTGAGCCCGTCAAACCCATCAGCAGAAAGCCAAAACAAAGCGGGACTGACAGATCCAGCACAGACACCCATGTAAAGCCCTAAATCACACATCAGTACTGAGAGACCTTTAGACTGTTTTGACCTCTGGAGCAGCAGAGGAAAACGACCTTTGAGCTGTTCCAGGCTTCTAGGAACATTAAAATGTCTGAAACCATCACCGTGACTGGGTAATGGCAGTCTTCTGTCATTGTGTCTTTTGTCCTGCATGAAGACATTTTCTGTTTCCAAAGGGACTTTTGAGCTTTGAGTTGATAAATAATGTAGAAATCTAAAAACAAAAAGACAATGCAGCCTTGATTGCTGCAGAACACTCAGGGATTTAAGGCTATGTTATTAATTCATTGTGTTTTATCTCTTCCTCTTTGTTCTGGTATCCGCCAACTTCATCCAGTAAAATGTCACCTATGGTAGAATTATGTCAAATTGAAAAATTCAAAGCAAATCTAATCAAATCAAAGATACTTTATTAATCCCAGAAGGAAATTAGAGTTAATTGCTTGTTTAAAAAGAATACACTGAGATTGTAGCCTTCATTTGAAAGACAACGGTAGAACCCGCCCCACAACCGAGAGCCGTCAATGGAGCATGGCCAGACTAAATAATACATTTATTTAGTCTGGCTTGCCAGGCTACTGAGATTGTGCTTGGGAATGAAAAGGTACTTCCAATAAGACTAGGAAAATGAAAACCTAAAGTTTCTAAAACTTTATCACCAGAACCCCTTCCTTTCACCACATCACCCCGGTTCTCCAGCAGCTTCACTGGCTCCCAGTTAAATTCAGGCCCATCTTCAAAATTCTCCTCCATACCTTCAAAGCAATCCACAACCTCTCTCCTCCATATATCTCAGACCTTATAAGTATTCACACCCCATCCCGTTCGCTCAGATCTTCTTCTTCTATCCATCTTGCGGTTCCTTCTGCCCGTCTCGCTACCATGGTGAGTAGAGCTTTCAGCCGCTCTGCTCCTCGTCTCTGGAACTCACTTCCCCCAGACATCAGGAACATCGACAGTTTTACCCTTTTCAAAACAAAACTCAAAACACATATGTTTAAATCTGCCTACAACCTCTGATTTTATTGAACTGTTTCTCTCTGTGTTTTTTTTTTTCTTGTTTGGGTTTTATTATTGTTTTATTGTATTTTATTACGTGTTTTCTGTCAAGTGACCTTGGGTGTTCTGAAAGGCGCTTTTAAATAAAATGTATTATTATTATTATAAAACCCATCACTCCTAATATTAAAGCATACATAATTGAATACTTTTGCAAAGTGGGAAAATTAGGAATTAATTTAAAATATAAGTGTCTTTAAAATTTTACATTGTCTTCATCTAGCCTGACAAGCCGTGGTACGGGCTCTCCTGTCTTTCAAACGATCTCTGCATGCTACTGGACATTAAACAACGTGACATACTCACCACAACAGATGTCGGTAAATGAGGCAGTCCACTGTTGAAGAAGGTTTAAAATGCATCCCTTTTCTAAATAAAGGACTTAAATATATCTGCTCCTGATTCTAAAAAAGCTCAAGTCCAAATAGTCCAAAATTGATGTGAAAGCCATTTTAAACAAGCTGTCGCCATCTTGTTCCACGCCATCACATCTTCGTGCCCACCAGAAGAATTGAGGGCCCTGATTGACCCACAAAACCAATAGAGCACTGTGATTGGCCCACCACAGTGGACCAATCACAGTGCTCTTATCAGTTTAAAACCCTTATAGAGAGTTGTGATTGGCCAGCCAGAATGCTGCTGGGGTCTGCAGAGGTTCTAATGGAGCATTCCTATAGACCAAACTTTGCAAAGCAAGAATTTGTTCTAGTTCACTAGGCTAATGTTCAGCAACAAACTGAAATTACTCATCTTTGTTCTTGTTTTTACAACATAATGGCTACCAAGACTTCTTTTGAAAGAAAAAACTGCAAAAATAGCAACTACCATATTTTCCGGACTATAAGCCGCTACTTTTATCCCACGCTTTGAACCATGCGGCTTATAATGAGGTGCGGCTTTACTGAAGATTTTCCTTCACCTGTCAGGGGGCGCTTTAGCAGAAAGTGAAACAGGTGGAAGTCGTCGTCGTCTTCCTCCGCTTATCCGGGTCCGGGTCGCGGGGGCAGCATCCCAACTAGGGAGCTCCAGACCGTCCTCTCCCCAGCCACCTCCACCAGCTCCTCCCGCAGGACCCCAAGGCGTTCCCGGACCAGATTGGAGATGTAACCTCTCCAACGTGTCCTGGGTCGACCCAGGGGCCTCCTGCCGGCAGGACACGCCCAAAACACCTCCCCAGGGAGGCGTCCAGGAAGCATCCTGACCAGATGCCCAAACCACCTCAACTGGCTCCTTTCGATTCGGAGGAGCAGCGGTTCTACTCCGAGTCCCTCCCGAATGTCCGAGCACCTCACCCTATCTCTATCCATTTCCCCAGTATGTTCTTAACTGTGGAAACAGACAGCTGAAACCTCTGTATCCTTCCCCTAAGCCATGATGATGAACAATCTGTGTTTTCGGGTCATGTGAGAGTTGTTTTGAGACCCCCATGTTGCTACTCTTCAGAGAATATTCAAAGAGGAAGGAAACGTACAATTGACCCCTTAAATACTCTTTCTCATATTTGGATTCACTTGTGAATGGAGGTCAAGGGTCATTGAGCTTGCCAAATCAATTTTGAGTTCCAATGATTAGTTCTAAAGATTTTGGAGTTACACAAACTACCCAAATTTATGCAGCTGCCTAATTTTGGAGGGAGGCCTAGCTCCGATTGTAGCCACAGCCACGATGGCCCACCAGTAGCCACAAATGGCTATGACTGCTATCCCGTAGCTATGAAAACAGGCAGTTTATAAGTACAGTAATTGAAAAATGTGTTCATATTTGAAACTTTGTTCATATTTGATATTTAATGAATGTTTTTGGTGCACTTTGAACTTGCGCTCCATATTACGCTAATGTGGCTGTGTGGTGCTCTGCCCGTAGTACAGTAGCTATGCTCATAGCAAATTGGCTGTACCCGTAGCCACTGTGGCTGTAGTTATAGCCACAGTACAAGGCAGCTTGACCAAGATAGCAGCATTGAGGCAGTAGCAGCGCTCCATGAGCATCTCTTCATTACACTAGTACTAGTTGTAGTACTACTACAACTCACTACTTCAACCTAGCTTATACCACATAATTATGAACCTCACTCACATCTGCACTGTTTAAAAATGGACTTCACAATATCAACTTCTGTACTATTTGAGGTTCTTTTTTAAAATGTTTTTCTAATTTTTTATTCTCTCTGTGTCTTATTGATTTTTAGATGTTAGTTTTGGGAATTTTGTTGTATTTACTTTTTATCTTCTATCTGTGTTCGACATGTTTGTATAACGCCGGTTTAATTAACTAACATTTTTAGTGTACAGCGCCTTGTTTGGTTGTAATGCCTTGTGAATGCGCTTTATAAATAAAATTGGATTGGATTGGATTGGATTAGAGCTGAAGCTCAGATCACCTGAGACTGCAGAGGGAATGTGGAGGACAGACACCTTTAGCTTGTTAAAAAAAACGTAACGATCATGGCTTCAATCAAAATAAAAAGCAAGTTACAGTATGTCCAAGATAAACAGAAATCTGCAGCAACGCAGAGACCACCCCATACCTCTTTTATGCTTCCATCTCATAATCTTTCATAAAAAGAGCAAATCCTCCCATCTCCCACAGTCTGACCACTTATAAACAACCTACCTGATGCCGCCACAGCATTGCAGCAAATTGACAACATTGTTTTGTAAAAACGGCTAGTGACTGACAGCAACCTGCATTGTTTGGTATCGGCTCATGAGTGGCCGAGCCAACTGGAGGCATGACCGAGAGTCGGCTGGAGTCAAGTGCAGCACAGTAAAGTAGTAGAGTACCAGCAACGCCTGCAATGGCTGATTCAAAGTCAGCAAATTGCAGAGTTTTGACCTGATGAGCAGCACAATAATGACAGTTCTAGGCTGAATTTTTACATTTGAATTAGGATGCACTAAAATGTCAAAATAATGACTACACAAAAGTTATTGGGGGTAACTCACTCTTGACTTTATTTGACTCTATTTCACTATTTTAAAACATCAAATGTTGGTTACGGTTGAGGTGTACATGTACAATTTTAGTTTATAACTTTTGCTAGTCAGGATGTCTCCTGGAGGCCTCCCTGGTGAGGTTTTCCGGGCACGTCCAACCGGGAGGAGACCTAAGGGTAGACCCAGGACACATTGGAGGGACTACGTCTCTCACCTGGCCAGGGAACGCCTTGGGATTCCCCCGGAGGAGCTGGCCCAAGTGGTTGAGGAGAGGGAAGTCTGGGCCTTTCGACTTAGGCTGCCCCCGCGACCCGACTCTGGATGAGCGGATGAAAATGGATGGATGGATGGACGGATGGATGGATGGATGGATGGATGGATGGAACTTTTGCTAGTGTTTAACATGATGTTTTGATCAATTCTATAAAATCTCACAACATACCACTTCATTAAGGAAAAGGCTAAGAAGGTGAAAACCTGTTCCATACATTTGATATCCAAAGAGCTTTGTGGTGTTGATGGAATTTACAGTGTTTTGTCTGCGGGTAGTCAGGTCCTTGGCATGTAACGCCATCTCTCTGCCAAACATTACCATACAACCTGCACCATTTTACCGTCTCCACCTTTTTACATACAAGTCGTGATGATTTCCTCCACCTTCATTGTTTCATCATCCTGGACATTTTGCCTTTACTTTTGGCCATTTGTCCCATCAAAATTTTTCTATTTAGATTACCAAAGTAACTACAAAAAATAAGGCTCTGCCAAGGAGGTACACCTGACACCCTTGACCCATCATAACATTAATGAATATGCTCCAGATGAGTTTCTGTATGAGCTTATAATCTATTGAAACAATTTATGTTAAGAAGAAAGGAAAGTCTGCAGTTCCTAAAAGTTTGGACCGGATCCATTAAACTTTTGCTTTGGAAGTCTCTCCAAAAAAAAAAAACCCTAATTAAATTAGAAAAAGCTCTCATCTTATTTCCTGATGCTTTCAGACAGCCGCAGCTGCATGTCTGAGAATGATTATTTGAGGGATCCATTGCAGCCTTCATCTTTCTTCGGCTCCTACTCCCAAAGCACAGATCAATACGAGACACTCTGTCCTAATGCACACGGATCTGCATCAACTCTGAAACTGGAAACCCCAAATCGTTTCAGCCAGAGCTGGTCTGCTGGTGGAGAGCCTTGTTGGTGCCATTTTAGAAGATGACTGATGTTGTAGATCAACCAGATCACAGACTTCTATGCTTAATCAGACTCTATATTCATCTTGATCCTCTGGATTTATTTCAGGGTTGTTTTTGTTCCAATCAGTTAAAGTGACATTGTGTATTTTTTTCTGGTGATAGCGGCAGTAGATACCTTAATTGTTGCATGCAAGCTTTATTTTTGTGTTAGAGTAAAACTTTGTCAATGGATGCCCATTAGGGTCAAAAAGCCTAGGAAAGTGCAAACTTCAGCGGCATTTTCAAAACGATGGTGAATCAGAAGCCAGCAGCTACTTCGGGGGCAAATTTCAAGTTTAAATGTAAGTCAACTAATTTCAAATGTTTTTTTAGATCCAAAGAAGTTATCCAAGGTTGGTTAGTTGCTTTGTAGTTGCAGCTTCGGTGGCTAGCAGGTAGTAACTCACTTAAATATTTAGTTTAACAAACATAAAAATTTTAAAAATTAAAGGCTTGTTCTATATTTATATTGAAACTTATACGTACAAAATATAACATTTTCTCCCGTGTCATGTGACGTGCTTCCGTGGTGGTCATGTGATGCAAGTCTGTTCCATTTAACTGTTTTCTTTGACCAAGGAAGGACAGTGTCCTCATAAGCTAGGCGCCTGGCCTCGCAAGGCTAGGTGCCTTGACATTGAGAAACACCCTTAGACCCGCTTCCACGTATTTTAGACCTGATTTTTATGGTTATATGTTATGAAGCTGCCTTTTTTTTCAACAACTGGGCATCATTTAATGAATTTTCAACAATATTTTGGTTGATATTTACAGAAATTAACAGTAAAATCTACACATTGTCACTTTAAGTCTCACACCTTCAGTATTTTTCAGATTGACAATATTTGTTCTAACCTCAAAACATCAATGTCAAACTTTTCTGGGTGTGCTGGAGCAGCAACAGGTGACATGAACACAGAAAAAAACATGTTTATTTCAGATAGCATTTGGCAGCTATTCCTGACACCAATCTTGTCTTTTAGAAACCTGCATAAGATCATAAGTCTGCAACCTTTACAATCCAAAAGGTCATTTTCCCTCTGAGTACACCTAAATAAAACTTGTTTAGAGCTGCAACTGTTAAAGGACCTTTTGAAAAAAGGCCATTAATAGTTTTTGAGAAATATTTATATTTATTTTTAACTGTACTATTTTCTGCAATTTCAGCTGTTAACTTTATTTTCTCTGTAAGTGTTTTTCTCCCCAGAAGAAGCTACAACGACGTTCTGCTGAGCTGTGGTGGCCTCAGGGAGGGGGCCTTCGACTAGCACACTGCTGCTAACCACTTAAACATTATCCCTCTCCTGATAATAACTTTTTGCTTTCCTTGACGTTGGATGTGCTTCTGCTAGTTTATCCGTTTAATTATAGATCCACCAGGACAAATACAATAAAGTTTATCTTTCACCAAATAGAATATTTACTAAGACATCACAATATAACTATAGACACATTACTTGTCTTTGTGTGTGTGCGTGTGTGTGTGTGCGTGCGTGCGTGTGTGTGTGTGTGTGTGTGTGTGTGTGTGTGTGTGTGTGTGTGTGTGTGTGTGTGTGTGTGTGTGTGTGTGTGTGTGTGTGTGTGTGTGTGTGTGTGTGTGTGTGTGTGTGTGTGTGTGTGTGTGTGTGTGTGTGTGTGTGTGTGTGTGTGTCTGCCTGCTCTGTCTTCTCGATCCCCAGTGAGTCGTGGAGGATGGCTGCTTATACTGAGCCAGGATTCTCTGGAGGTTTCTTCCTGTTAAAAGGGAGTTTTCCTCTCCACTGTCGCTTTATGCTTGCTTAGTATGAGGATTGCTGTATAGTCACTGACACTAGTCAGTGACTTGATGCAATTTGCTGGGTTCCTTATATAGGAAACATTATTTCTGATTGGCTTAATGAACTGACCTGAATTGGAATGTTTATTATGTGAAGTGCCTTGAGACGACTCTTGTCGTGATTTGGCGCTTTATAAATAAACTTGAATTTAATTGAATTGAATTGAATAGAAGATGACTGTGACAACAGAAAAAAAAAGTTTTTTTTTCAGACTTCCGAGACAACCTTACCACTTTATTTGTATGGCGCAATTAAAAACAGCATGAGAGCTGACCAAAGCATCTCCCAAACAACATAAAAAAAACTGTCATGTAAAAATGTAGATATAGCAATCAGTAAAAACTGATCAAACACAGAACTCTGAGATCAAAAGGATTCTGGATTTCTTCTGGGATGACATTCAGAAAATCATTTTTTTCCCATCTTCTGTTTAACTGCTATTTTTATATTAGGATTTAAAATTAAGAAAAACGATCACACTTTTTAATGTTTATTTGTTTTTAATGGGATGCTGATATTTGTGGATAATAATGTCATAAAAATAAATAGATCTGTTACTGGTACTTTTACTGTCATTGTATTGTGGAAATTCAGTTGTTCTATGAAAAAAAATAACTGAAAAGCTGCTTAAACTTGCATTTTCTATTATATCTATATTTTCAGACACAACTTAGTGTTTTATCCTGTTCGTCACTTATGGCTCCAGACCTATGGTTTAGATATTTTTGATGGGAAGTATGTGTCATGAAATAGTCAGCAGAACAAATGAAAGCTAACAATGTCAGTTTTAGAGGGAAAACGGTTGAATTATGAATAAAACATCATTTAAAATCACAAGGTAAATAAACAACAACAAGGTTTTGGACTGGGAAAAACTTTAGTTTAATCATTTTCTAGACATTTCAGAAAGATAACTATCAATTTGATTAATATGGGTGATCATAATATCTTAATGATTAAAAACACATTATTTTATATTTATAATTGTTATCGTCCGTATTCTGCTTTCTACTATATCACTATTAAATAATTATATATGCTCAATAATGTTTGGGAAGGACAACTTTATGCAAGGGAGGCACGCGTCCCCCCTCTCCCCTCTGGGATCTCCGCCTATACATGTGAGTAAAGTACAGAAGGGTTGCATAAATGTATGATCTTGAACGTTACCCTGCAGTACTTCATTACCCATGATGCAACAGTTAACAGATGACGGCAGAAGTAAATGTGCAAAGTTCATTTCTGTCCGTAAAGAAAAAGTCCTTGCTTCGCCAGAGGAACAGATAAATGTAGACAGGTGGCTTTGGCTTCAAGTCCTTGTTGACCCACGTTTGTTTCGTAAGAGAAGAACTTTGTTGAGCTGCAAAAACCAGGTAATCCCACGTAAACGCTTTGGGTGCTGAGCTATGTCGACGTAAGCATCAGCGGGTTTCATCGGTTTTTGAATCAGATTTAATAGAGTAACTGTTAAAACCCGTAGGTTACAGCTTGGTGAATACAAATATGAATGTAAATAACACGAAATTAGCCTTTTTGCCTGTAATGTGCAGTTCGCACTAACATGGTGTGTTTGCATGTATTATTTTCAAAAGCATGGCAGAAGCAAAAGCTAAACAAGAGCTGCCTGAAGACGTTGGCTCTGACGACTGTCTGACGTCATACACCTACATTTACAGCCCAGATTTACTAAAGTAAGAATGCAAGTTCATGCTTTTTATTATTTCTATACGTGCTTCTCTCAGTTGCACGTTTATTTTGAATGATATCTAACAGAAATGTTCTTTCTAAAAGAGATCAGGTTGCTTTTATCACAGGAGGAGGATCTGGAATTGGACTCCGCATAGCTGAGGTCTTCATGAGGTGAGGACTGCCTGCATGTGTTTTGATACAGTTTGTGAAATATCAACGCTGTTTCTATTGTTTCGTGTACTGAAAAATAAATACATCTTTACATTTTCACTATAAACTTATTTTCATTTATACACTGCAACCCCCCACCCCCACCCCACACACAAAAAAGTCACACACTCTAATAATTCGTTGGACCGTGTTTAGCTTTGATTACCAGATTTATTTCCATCCAGTGTTGCATTAATGTTTCTCCAAGATCTTACATTGATGATCGAGTCTGCTGCATAAAGCCTTCTGCAGAAGAGGCTCCTACCCATTTGCTTAGTTAAATCCAGGTGGCCACTTTGTTTATGGCTGGGCAGTGTAACATCCTTGGCATTGCATTTCCTGTCTTCCCTTCCTTTTTGATTCCTGTGTTTTCCACACATACTATGAGCTCTTTGTGGTCATTTATCTCCACAGTGTTTTATACTTTTAAAAAATGTTCTCAGGCATGGCTGTGATACAGTGATTGCCAGCAGGAACTTGGACAAACTGAAGGAGGTCCGTTCTAATTATTGCTTCTGTATTTGTACATATCCGCCTAGTCTTCATCGATGTTGTCATGTTTATGTGTAATGATCACTTCTTCGTAGGCAGCCAAGAAGCTGTGTGCTGCATCAGGACGCCGCTGCCTTCCCGTGTGCATCGACGTGAGGCAGCCTGAGAGCATCGTTGCTGCTGTGGATGAAACAATCAAGCAGTTTGGTCACATAGACATCCTTATCAACAGTACGTGATGAATGTAGCTTGTGCCAGCACTTTGAGTTGATCACAGATGCTTTCTTTAGCCAATTTAGGTTGAACAACGAGGGCAAAATTCAGAGGGAAAAGAGTTTGGATTGATCGTTAACTTTTCTTGCATGTTAACGTTCTATCTTTGCTCCCTTGTTACCTAAACAGATTAGATGCATTACTGCAAGATAATTTTCACTAATCAGATTTAAATGAATAGTTAAATATCTTTTATACGTTTGTTTTGTTTTTAATGATAGATTTGTATTATTTCATAGTTTTTGCTTCTTTACAAAATGTATTTTTGCACAGATGCTGCTGGAAACTTCATCTGCCCAGCCTCTGCTCTCTCCTTCAATGCCTTCAGGACCGTGATGGAGATAGACACCATGGGCACATTCAACACCAGTAAAGTAGTTTATGAGAAGTGGTTTAAGGTAAATAAATCTCTCGTGTTTGTTTTTTCCGTGCATTTATTAGTTTATTATTCATTTTTGCATCAAAAAATGTGTGTACTCACCTGAGTGCTCCAGCCCCCGTGTTTTGTATTTATTATTATTGTCCACAGTTGCTGTGTGTTGCTGGAACACTGTTGTTCCACCAAAAGGGGGCAGTAAAGATTAACAAATAATTTTAAAATTTGTTAATTTTCAACATTTTCACAGTAATTTTTATTTAAATATTTATTTTCAAAAAATTCACTAACAATTTTAAAGGTGTGGGACCTTGAAAACCCATGTTTTAATTATTATTTCAGATCATAATCAGTCACTCTTGAGTTTTTCATGCAGGCTGAGCATGAAAATAGTCTCCTACACCTATCTCCTGCATTAGCTTCTGATAGAAAATAGGCAGTGAAACTCTAGGATTAGAAAATCCTGACAGATCTACAACACACTGTCACTTAACATTCATGGGTTCACCCATCTTGAGTCACGACAGGGAAGGCTGTTGTTGGTTTAGCGTCCAGGAAACAGCAGAGAAATCTTGACTAGTAGAAACTAACCGCTAGCATCAACAACTTCACTTCGCAGAAGCTCCTCCAGGCTTGTGTTATTTGTGGCATGGAGAATTCAGCTGGCGGAGAAAGTAGCTTCACGCGACAGGATGTGGAATCTTATTTGACATCTTGCCTCTGATTGGCTAACAGCGTGATTCTACCACTGACTCAGTTTGCTTTGCAACGTTGATGCTTTATCTCCACAAATATTACAAGCCTGCCATGTTATGAAGTTGCTAATGCTAACAGTTAGCTTCTACTAGTTGAGATTTATCTGTTTCCTGGATGCTAAACCAGCAACAGCCTTTTCCCATCATGAGTCAAGGTGGGTGAGTCCATGAACATTAAGTGACAGTGTGATGTAGATCTGTCAGGCTTTTCAAATCCTAGAGTCTCACAGTCTGTTTTCTATCAGAAGATAATGCAGGAGATAGGTGTTGGAGACTTTTCATATTCAGCCTGCAAGAAAAACTCTGATAATCAGAAACAATAATAAAAAAACTGATTGTCAGTGAAGGACCTCTTTAATAATTTCCCTCTGTAATATTCTGGTGTGACTTTTAACTATATTTGTGATAATGAGGGTATTTTGTGTGTAGGATCATGGTGGAAACATTGTCAACATCTCTGCAACTCTTGCATACAGAGGGCAGGCTCTACAGGTGCATGCTGGCTCTGCCAAGGCAGCAAATGGTGAGAGCTTATTTACAGAAAATAACATAAGATGAATGTACAATTCAGACAACTTCATGTTGCTCGTTTTGTCTCCAGACGCCATGACAAAACACCTGGCTGTAGAGTGGGGGCCCAATGGTGTGAGGGTAAACGCTGTGGCTCCAGGTCCCATCTCCGGCACAGAGGGCTTTCGCCGACTCGGTAAAGACTTCCTACATAGTGCCGTTACTGGGATTCATCCAACAAGACGGTTGAACTGCATGAGTTAGACCAAACCAGTAATATTAGTTGAAGTTGGAGTTTTTCTTGTAAAACTGTCAGGTGGTTCTCATATGGAGGCGACTGAGTCCTTCCGGTCCATACCTTTGCAGCGAGCTGGAAACAAGACTGAGATGGCCCACTGCACGCTTTTCCTGGCTAGCCGAGCATCTTCCTACATGACTGGTGCCATCATGGTGGCGGATGGTGGCGCCTGGCTCACCTCAGCCAATGACGTCTCCATGCTGTTGGGTATAGCCTCCTCTAAATCTGCTAGGCTCTGAGCTGGGGCTCTCCTGTCCTCCTCCGGACCCAGGTGTGTTGGAGGAGGCACAGCTTGAGATCCAGGAGAGACAGTAAGACTGAGAGTGTTTCTGAGCCGTCCTATCCATCATCTCTGATTTAGCGTGTTCAATTCTTTATATCACAGCAATATGCTAATTAAGACTAATACTTTACATCATTTCTTACAGGTTATTGGTCATCTGAAAAGAAGAGAGACAAGTGAACAAGTGAAACTCTTTTTGCAGGAGCACTGATGTGCATTGTGACATAAATCAATGTTTTCCATTGTGCACCAGGGCCGTTATTCCTGTTATCATGGTGGTTAGTATAGGACTACACTGATATAACATACTGTATTATCACTAGCTGTCATATAAGTTATGAATGAAGTGATGTAATAACTGAAAAGTTGTTTTCACATTCCACTGTTCAGTTTTATGACAAATGTGTGTAATTAATAATAAATGAATGAATGACAAACGATGTGCACTTGTAGAGTGCTTTTCTAAGTCAGGACTCCAAAGCACTGTATTGCTCGAGGACAATGGTTGTTAATATAGGTTCCCGTGGTGCTTGCTAAAGGTTTCTTTAATTGCTTCATTGTTATACTGTATAAACCTTGAAGATTGATCTCTGATTATATGGATATTTGCTGTTTGTTTCCTGAGATGCCTTGCTAGTAGTCTACAGGTGCTGGTCATAAAATTGGAATATCATGACAAAGTTGATTTACTTGATTAACTCCATGCAAAAAGTGAAACTTGTAGATGCATTCATTACACACAGACTGGTATGTCACAACTTTATTTATTGATTATTCTAACTGACGACTAATGAAAATCCCAAATTCAGTATCTCAGAATGTTAGAGCACTGTGAAAAGGTTAAATATTGAAGAGCCCTGGTGCCACACATTAATCAGCTAATTAACTCAAAACACCTGCAAAAGCCTTTAAATGGTCTCTCAGTCTAGTTCTGTAGGCTACACAGTCATGGGGAAGACCGCTTACTTGACAGTTGTTCTAAAGATGACCATTGATACCTTTCACAAGGAGAGCAAGATTCCAAAGTTCACTACTAAAGAGGCTGTCTGTTCACAGAGCTCTGTGTCCAAGCACAGTAATAGAGAGGTAAAGGGAAGGACATTGTAGTGACTATCAAGTCCCACTTTTAATCACCCTTGGGTGCGGGTGGAGGCAATGACTCGCTTCAACAATATTGTCCAGGCAGAAAGCGGGTTTGGGTTTATTGTCCCATTTATTGAATATGTTGACGATCACAGTTATGCAGGGTCCAGAATGGCTATGTCTTATCAAGGTTTATGTGAATGATGAAAATTATAACGGCAAATTAGATGTGGCATATGAAACCAAACGAAGCGATAAAAACCGTGTGACCTCCCGTCACCCAAAAAAATGCCAATGCACTGCCACCTCAACACCTTTATAGGCTCCACAGTGTCACCAGTGGTTAAAGGAAATACAAACCATAGTGCAATAAACTGAAATGTACATAAAACATTATCAAAATAAACTTAGACCATAATATAATCTAAACCAAAACAATATTGGCTCCTACAGACATGATGTGGTAGAAAAAAGTAGAGAAAAATTGAAATAACTGCACCCTGAAGAGGATTGTGACTCAAAACCCATTCATAAATGTGGGGGAGATTCACAAAGAGTGGACTGCAGCTGGAGTCAGTGCTTCAAGAACCACCACACACAGATGTATGCAAGACATGGTTTAAGCTGTCGCTTTCCTTGTGTCAAGCCACTCTAGAACAAGAGATGGTGTCAGAAGCACCTGAGCTAAAGACTAAAAGGATTGGACTGCTGCTGATGGTCCAAAGTTATGTTCTCTGATTAAAGTAAATTTTGCTTTTCCTTTGAAAATCAAGGTCCCAGCGTCTGGAGGAAGAGAGGAAAGGCAAAGAATCCATTTTACTTGAGGTCCTGTGTAAAGTTTCCAGAGTCAGTGATGGTTTGGGGTGCCATGTCATCTGCTGGTGTTGGTCCATTTTGTTTTCTGAGGTCCAAGGTCAACGCAGCCGTCTACCAGGAAGTTTTAGAGCCCTTCCTGCTTCCTGCTGCTGACCAACTTTATGGAGATGCAGATTTAATCTTCCAACAGGACTTAGCACCTGCACACTATCCTGTTCTTGATTGGCCAGCAAGCTGGCCTGACCTTAACCTCATAGAAAATCTATAGAGTATTGTGAAGAAGGAGATTCAATACACCAGACCCAACAATTCAGAGGAACTGACGGCCACTCAGAGCAACATGGGCTCTCATAACACCTGAGCAGTGACACAGACTGATGGACTCCATGCCACGCCACACTGCTGCAGTAATCCAGGCCAAAGTTGCTCTATCTAAATATTGAGTGCTTTACATGTTCATACATTTCATGTTCTTACTTTTCAGTTGGCCAACATTCCTAAAAACCCATTTTTCATTGGTCTTCATTTATATTCTGAGATACTGAAATTGGAATTTTCATTAGTTGTCAGTTATAATCATCACCATTAAAAGAGAAATTTGAAATATATCAGTCTGTGTTTAATGAATGAACCTAATATACAAGTTTTGCTTTTTAAATTAAGTTACTGAAATAAATCAACTTTGTCATGATATTCTAATTTTATGACCAGCACCTGTAATATGCTTTTGCTCCTTGTATATTATCACTGTTCAAAAGTATATGTTTTTTGTTTATGTCCCCATTTAAGATGTTGTCTATTTCTTATTTAAATTACTTTGATCTCTTTAAGGATTGAGTGTTGTTAGTGATTTGAAACCTCAGTTTCACTTATTTCAGTTTTTCATCCAAATTAAGATAGGAGTTCATTTTCAGAAGATTCTGTTTTGCTGGTAAGTTGATTAATTTCCCCCTGATTACAGCCTTACAGGCATAGCTGATGGAACTGATTTCTCCTGTATCATTCTCTCTTGTATATTGTTTTATTTATTTCATCACGTGTTCATTTACTTTCTTCTTATTTAGAATACATTTAATATCCCTGCCAGTAGCAAAATGAATCACTTTCTGGGTATCCATCGGTCAAATCCGGTAAGGATTTTAAGAATAATTCTGCTAAGGAAAACAAAAGGTGTTAAAAATAATTTTATTACACTAAACAGTAAGTAAAAGCAGCACAAGATAAAAAATATTACATTTCAGACCCTGGAAACGATTAATGATTAAATGCAATATCGATCGCAGCCAGACGGCGGCGCTAACACACAGCAGTTCCATTGATGGATATATGTTTGACTACAATGAATGTGCCTCTACAGGTCTAGAAAGCCATTATATTTCTTGTTTTAATTTTATTTTAGTAATGAGTTTAGAAAAACAAATATTTAACTGTTTTGGGCCTTTCAACAGCCTTTGTATGATTTAACTGAGAGCTTCACTTGTCATTAAACTGTTAGTTTAAAAGACGAGCATAATTTTCCTAAAATGTGGCCAACACATTACACAACAATACATGCTGAATTTAGAGCACAAAACAAAACAGACATGAAAACGCAGGTGTGATGCCAGCGGTGATACTGCGGGGTATTTTCTACGCTTGCGTGAAACGTCAGCGGTGAGAGTATGCGGCTGGAGGAGGCGGAGGAGGAGGATAGGACACTGCTGATGCTGATGCGAGAGCTCTCGGCGTCTGTGATCACCACCGATGGACCTATTCCGTTTTTGATGGAGCCCTTTACCTCGGTTACCGTACCAGTCGTTTCGCTGTGGGTGTGGATCAGATGAGGCGGCGAGACGCGGACACCTGAAGAGGAAATAACGGTTTCGACTCGTCACTCTTCTGGCCTGGCTTACCCCTACACAGGTGGATTGACGCTGGAAAAGCGGAACCGAAATGAGGCAATAGCGTTGTACTGGGAATGGACGGCTATTTACATCTATGTTCTGATACAAAGCTAACATTTAGTTTGTTTTTATTAGGGAGGAAACGAACCATATGTCGTCTTACGGGCTAATTTTCTGTAGCTAGTCGGCTAGCAGCGTCCTCCGCCAATGACCGCGGACAAGGGAGGAGTTAACGTCAGTCGCTAACATAAACGCAATGGAAGAAAGACGCTGGGAGCTACATGTGCTTTGCCTCTTCTTAATGAGAATTTAAACAGCTGGAGGTTATTTCGGGTGTGCGTTCCGCTATCAGCTGGTTGCGGTTGATGACGAGATAAGCGGCTAATGAGGCTAATGTTGACAAACACGCGTAACTGACGCGCAAATTAGCATCTTTAACGTTTCCAAGGGTCCCCGAGACTTTAAACGCTGTTAGCTGCGTCAGCTCTTCGTTTCGGTGTTTTGGCAGCTCCAGGTAAAGTTATGTTGGATGAGCTGAGGCTGAAACAATTGGCGACGGCATCCAGCAGTGAAGCAGCCATGACAGACATGCACAGTGTGAGTCAAAACGTGTCTACGTTAACTCTGAAATTACCTTCTCTGTGGATGTATTTGTAAACATTCTCAAACCCACTGGTGCTAGCTCAGTTTATGACTCCTATATGATCGCGTTTCACATCGTTAGAAGGAAGTTATCGCGGTGTCTAACCTGAGATGCTCAGTGCCGTATGAAAACATGGCACTGAAACTGAAGACAGCAGTCAGATAAAACCTCCCAGGCTTTCTGGAGTTTATGAAGTAGAGTAGCCAGGACCTAGATGGAGCCGACGGTGCTGTCTGGGCCTCTGGGGCACGCTCAGTGGGAGCCAGAGCAGCCATTTCCTCTGGGATTTCAAACGCTGGATTCAGACAATGGGGGTGTGCTCTGTCTAAACAAGAGTGGCCAGGCAGGTTTGAACTTCAGGAAAGGTGAGGAGGACAAGCTTTTCCCAGAAAGTGATGAGAAAAACGTGGTTTTTATGGATAAGCCAGTAGAACTTGACCACATTTTAAACATTTCTACCTTTCCCTGTGGGGATTTGCCATTCGAGGGAGTGCAGCCCACACATTTCCAAGAAAAAAAGGAAGGACTGGATGGGATTAGTGACTGCACGTTGTCGTGGCTGTTTTCTCCCAACTTTTCAGATGTATATGAGAAAACCTCTGCCAGTAACGAGCTGATGCTCCGACTAGATCCCCCTCTTGAGGGCTCAGATGTCCTCGGTGACCATGCTGACTTAATAAACCTCAGTGTGCCATCTTCTCCAATTAGGATTTCCAGGAGTAATTCTGAGACGAAAGCAGGGGATCCGTGTTTGCTAGTTGATCTTTCAGATGGGCATCTCACCCAGGAATCTACAAGTGAGTTAAAACCACAGGGTGTCACTGAGGAGGTGCCTCAAGAGGAGCAGGCTGTTCTCTCTCCCTCACAGTCACCTGAAACAGGAGACAAAGGTTTATTCCCTGATCAAGTGACTGACCTGCCTGTAACCAGTAGCACGACAGTGCAAAGTTTACCTGAGAGCTACCAGCAGGACACACACACCAGCAAACCACAGGAAGGATCTGCGCCTTTGTTGGATCTGGAGCTTTTAGATTTTGACAGTAGCTTATGCCCTGCCAGTCCTGTGTCTAATATCTGCACAGGTGCTCAATTAGACAGGTTGGAGGTGGCAAATTCGGAAGCTGCTGTAATTGCGAATTTCTCATCGGAGCAGCTGAGTGAGAACGAGTCACCTGCTCCGGGTCTGTCAGACGAACCCTCATTCCTGACACTGCCTCTGACTCAAGATGCCTGCTGTCGTGATGATCTCGCCAGCGAGGGTAGCTCTATGGAGAACATTTCTGAGGATTTGATGGATGGGAGTGCGCCCAGTCTGAAGGTCGAGCGGAGGGAAGAGGAGAGGCTGACCTGCACCAGCCGGCTCCAGGGCTCGGATCATCATGAAGCGGCTTCTTTTGATTTCTCAGTTCAGGACGTAAACATTTCTTCTTCGGAAGCTGAATGGACTAGTGAGCGGACTGTGGGGACGATCTCCCGCTCTAAGATGGTGGGGGGTGACTCACTGCCAGTGGTCCCAGCTGTAAATGCAAGAGAAGACGACATCTCCCCGCTGAAGGCTGTGTTTGATGCTTTAGACCAAGATGGAGATGGCTTCGTTCGTATTGAGGAGTTTATGGAGTTTGCGGCTGCCTATGGGGCCGATCAGGTGAGACGCCTCAGCTTTGTGCTCGTTTTTTGTAAGGGCCTCTTCTGTGTGCGTGGAGTGAAACTACGTAATGTGATCCACAGCTCCATTTATTATTAATTTTCTGCATGACTCTAGAGGGCACACTGCAAGAAGCCTTTTTAATGCTTTCACTCGAATTTCATCCCTGGATTTCACTCAGCTTGTCTGCTTTAGGATTTGAGGAACCAACCATTCCACCGTTAAGGCTGGATGTTTACACTAGCCTTAAAACACTGGGTGTCTGAATTTTTGATGTTAATGGTTTAATTGGGCTTTTTTGCTCTTCACATGCTGTAAAGCACTTTTCCACCCCCCCTGCTGTGTTTCCCATTGGCTCTTAACAAACAGAAAATATGTGGGTTACACCAGAGCAGCGTATTCATTATAACCAGTCTTGGATTAGCGTTTATCTTTGTGATGGGCTTAGGATTTATGTCAGCATTTAGATAAATCTGTCAAGCATATTTTTTTTTTACATGAAGTCAGTTAGGTTTGGAACTCATCCATATGTCAAATGACAAAGCTTCATCTCATTTACATGTCCTGTGGCCAGAGATAATCTGTGGGGCTTATTGCTCCACCCATGTCCTCTCAGCCTTTTGTTGTGCTGCTGCTGAATATTATTTTAGAATCGCATGGTGTTACAAACTCTTGCTAAAACTCTAAAACTTATTTAAAACATTTTCCCTGGTTCGGTAAATGTGGAGCTAGTCTTTGCCTCCTGCTGAAAGCTGAGCATTTAACAGGTAAACACATTTTTAGTTTAATTTCCTTTGCCGCTTGTCCATGCGCTTGAGCGTTTACAAGAACTCAGCAGCATGATCACATCTTTGCGAGTGATGGTAAACAAATGTCTGTAACTAACGACATCCATCTGTTAACAATCTTTCTTTTCTTTTTTCCCTTTTTAATAATTGCTTTTAGCTCAAAATCTGCTAAAATATATTTAAGTCACATCATTTTGTAAGAGCTTTTTACATTATTTGCGACAATTATGAGTTTATAAACAAATATTTGATCCATCGTGTGTTTAAAAAGCTTCAAACTTTGATTCTTTTATTTGTGAACTGGACATTAGTGTGAGCACATGGGCTCACCTGTGTGTGTGTGTGTGTGTGTGTGTGTGTGTGTGTGTGTGTGTGTGTGTGTGTGTGTGTGTGTGTGTGTGTGTGTGTGTGTGTGTGTGTGTGTGTGTGTGTGTGTGTGTGCGTGCGCGTGCTGCTGGTTTACTAATGCTATAATCCCTCCTCCCCAGTTCAAAGCGCCTGATTTGTCCCATGTCTGCTCATGGGTATCTGTGGCACCCCAGCCAGAGAATTGTGAAGGATTAAGAGGAAAATGTGTTCTCCTGAGTCAGAGGAACCTCACATTTCCAACTGTAGGCTTGTTTTAATGACAAAACAGCTATGTTTTTGTTGTTGGTCATTGTAAATCAGGTTCACCTGTTTGAAGTGCTGAGGAATGACAGAGTCGTTTAAAAACATTGGTGTCTGGAAGACTGGCAACATTTTTACCTGTTTTAAAGTAACTGTGAGCAGTTTCCTGCTCCTTTGCTTTACTGGATGAAAGTGGAATTACATCTGTCTAAACTCCCTGCTGCAGCTTGCTGTAGCTCGCGCTAACAATGAGCCAACACTAACAGCCAACGGATACTAAAATAAACCACAAAGTAAAAAGATCCACAATGTTGGACAAAAATATTATTTACAAGTCCAGTAGCAACAAAGTCAGGCCACCATCAGTCCATGGTTTTGTAGCCTCCTTTAGCTTCCTCTAATTAGTGTAGGTCGCACCAGTGTTCTCACTGGTTTAGCTCTTTGCTTCACCTCCAAAGACATCCGCCATGATGCCAACAGCAACAGCAAAAGCAAACTACTTTTTCTTCTTGAGATTTTTATTGTCAATCTGCGAACTGTGAAGATGCTAACAGCTAGCATTACAGCTAACAGCCGTAAAGCAGGTAAAGAGCTCCCCTAGGTCACCTACCCACTTCACAAAACTATAAAGTGTGGCTTTTGGTTAGCAGAGGGCTGCAGAGTGGTGTCAGATATGAAACTGGTCAAATTTCTAACACAACAATCACTGAGATCAATATTAAAGCTTGAGCTTAACTCATTTAGTGCCATCAATGACAAAAGTCATCATTTTAAATACAACCGTTAACCGCTATTGACGAGAAGAAGAAGAAGAAAATATAATTTCTATAACTCCTCTCAAGATAAAAATCACGAGGCGCTTCACAAAAACAAAAAATGTAAAAGTATAAAAAAAGCATTTAGAAAATGTTTAAAAATATATTTAAAATGAGCAAAAATAGACAATTGTGATAAAAAAATGTTAAGAAAGAGAGAGTGAATAGAAAAGAGGGAAATCAAATCTGAGGAAGGTGGAATAGGTGGGGAGAGCAGAATAGAGTGGTGAAGAAGGTCATACAACAGCCAGCTCGAACAAGTGAGTCTTCAGCTGCTTTTTGAAGGGGCGGGCGTTGGAACGAGCCCCCGCACCGTGAGAACTAACATCACAGCTCTTAAGTCGATCTTCATCCACGTAGTCACACGTCACGTGATCAGGAAGCAGACAATCCATGTGTTAGATCGTTTTGAGCCGCTGCTGTAAAAAAAAAAGTGAGTCGTGAAATGGAAAAGCTTCTGCCCTCACTATTCAACAACGGATTATGAAAGAACGGATAATGATCGAAACACGCAGATTCTTCCTGATGTAAGAAGTGAGTCTACTCTTTGTTTTGGTAGCTTTGGCGTTGACATCATCATAGAGCGCAACGTTTTGTGACTCTTCAAAAACCAGTAAAAACACTGAAACGCTGGCAGTGAGAGGCTTTTCTTATCAGGAAACGGTTACTGTTACTTTAATTTGGATGACTGATCTGAAAGGTTTACCTTAACCAGATGGATGGTATCTTCTGTTTTCTGGCTATCGGATATCTGGTGTAGGAGCTGATGGAGCGCCCTTATGACTAACTTCTCTCAAATTCCCATCGTTTTACACTTTGAGAGTCAGATTTAGACATGCTCGGTTTTTTCATTAACCGTAAAGCGGAAGGAGACCAACTAATCTGAAGAATTTATGGAATCTGTTCTAATAAATGTAAGATTTTAGTGGATTTTCTGCTGATCTTACAAGGTTAACACACACACACACACACACACACACACACACACACTGATATGTCTCTCCAAGGTAGGAAATGTTTCGCTCTTAACATCAGCTGAACACACGTGTGCCTTTTTTCTGTTTGAATGAGCTTTACCCTGGTATGTCCTCATATTACAGTAATCTGGAGATAAACACACTTCACACATGAATAGCCTTCATGCCTGAGCAAGTCTGATCCACAAAATTATACTTTGGGCAGTGGAGGGTGACATAAGTATTTAAGCATGTGGTTGAGAAAAGTGGAGGGAAAGGAAGCCATTGATGCTTAAACAACTATAAAACAACCAGAGGGGGTTTTGGGTGTAAAAACGGGTTTAAAGGAAGTGTTTGGTTAGTTTGGACAACAGCTAATTGTTCCCACTGAGCCTTGCAGTATGCATTTCTTTGTAGTTGCGTTGTAGGATGGGTCGGGATTTGCATTCTGCTTCCCTCTACCTCTCTGCAAATTCCCCTGTGTGGCAGCAGGAAGGTATTCCTGTAGCATTTGCATCAATGTCAGCTGGTACTTTCTTAGATTTGGATGTGATGGACACCATATTTACTCCTATCACTTGTGCACCCTTATGTAAAGTCTGTCAGACCAAACATGAAGAGCCACAACATGCTGCTTAGTTCTACATGCTGGCACTCCGTTTCTTTTCTGTAGCCTTTACTGTTGGTGTGAAGTTAAAACATCTCATTCGCTGTAGCTTAGTGGTATTTGTGGACAGAGCTGGGAAAACCGGAGAGCAGATGGTGATTACATGTTACACCGTTTGTTGTAAATCAGTGAATTTTGCCTCCTAAAAGACATTTCTCACCAGTCCCTCTCTAGTTTTGAACCTGATTCTTCACAAAAGCCAACTGAACTGCCCCCGTGAATCGACACTATCTATCCCATTTTGAAACAACCCCCCCCCCCCCCCCCCCCCCCCCCCGTCTTTTTATGTGCTGCACCTCTAATCCACAGTGGAATGTCCCCCAGCCTAAACATGAGTTCTGATTAGACACCTGCTAGTTTTTCCCCTTTAGCATCACATTTGCCATCACAGCATGCTCATGAAGAAGGGTATCTGCGTTTTGTTTCCAAACTGATGTAAATTCCCTCTGAAGAAGGCTATTCTTCCTCTTGGTGGGTTATGCTCAGCAGTGGTCTGCGTGGAGGCGCTCGGGCGTGCCTCGGCACTGATTAGACACGAATAGAAGAAACAGAAAAACCACAGTGCCTTTGCTGCCTCGCTAAGCCGTGGAACTGACATTTGAGTTTAGTTTTCAGCTCCGTTTGTGGCTGAACTTTTGAAGTGTGCCCTTGCAATAAATGTAGGTGTCTTAAATTGTTGGATAATTAAACGGCTTTCCAGAAAGTATGCACGTTTTATAAAATCGTTTTGTTCAGGCATCACTGTGTGAGACGGAAAACATGAATCTAGCAAAGAGTAAAAGCAATTTCCTGAAATTCATACTTTTAGACAGTTATGACAAACATACTGAAGGCAGCTGATGTTTGGTGAATTATTTACCTTGGTGCCGTTTTTTCTTTTTTTCATTCAGATGAATCAGCCATGCAGAGGCTTTTCCAGCTCTGAAATCATGTTCGCCTTTCCATTTTTAGGTTCGAACCAGGAATAGCCGATGAGCTTCTGCTCACCAGACCTCAGGGGCTGCTGTAAAGTATTACCAACTCCGATGTAGGCCATGGAAGGGAGCTTAAAACCTGCCAGTTGTACAGTCATGACTTTAATAATGACCCGACCCAGTCCCAGGCTTAAGAAACAATACAGTGTACCAGTCTGCTGCTAATTATAACATGTCACATAATGAATTCCCCAGTCAGTCACACCTCAGGTTTCTCACCTCACACAGCAGATGCACTGAGGTGTTTCTGTATGGAACAAAACCGCTTCCTGTAAACCGTGACTGTGTGCTGAGGTATATTCAGTCACCTACATCTGACCTCAGACTCAACCAATTTATTTTTTGGCCAGAAATGTATAAAAAGCCAACTTAACGCACCACTGCGCCTCGGGTGAGGCATAATGTATGTGCGTACGCTTGCTAAACCGACTGCTGCGGTGTCCCCGTTCACAACCTTTTAGTCACATCTCCTCTTCCTTTACTTTAGTTGAGTACAACTTGGTTTAACTCATCAAAGGCAGATTGTAATCCACGGGGGTTGCTGGAGTAGGTTTATTAGGATTTTTTAGCCTGAGTCAAGTCAGAGCTGTTAAGCAGATCGGCTTGTTTTCTGTAAGTGGTAGAATTAACGCAGAAGAAGCGGAACCATTACAGTCTTGGGTGGTCTGATCAATGAATAAATACTGGTTTATGTTTCATTCCCTGATAAAAGCCCTATTGGAGGTTTTTATGAACATACATAAATAACTAAAGGGATTGGTTGCCTGGATACTGGAGAAGGAAGGCTCAGTATGTAGGTGCTCTTATGTAACCTGTTTTCTACAGCTTCTGTGTAGCTGTGATGCTTTGTGCTGTGAATGCTGAACTGAACATCTGTGTTTTAGTGATATATCCAGAAAACGGTTTGCTAAAAAGCCACTGGTGGTATGGTTTTTGTGTTGTTTTCCTTCCCAGAGTGCTTTAAAATAATTTGCACGGAGAAAGCTCCCAATAAACCTGCTATTGCCCTGCATCCTATAAAGTAAAAGTAGATTTTCCTCTGACGGTCAGACGTGTTTTATTGGTGACGTTCTGTCATCAGAACCTAAAGCCATGTGAGTAAAACTGTTGTGTACTCACCATGGCCTAAATGCAGTTAAAGCAGAGCTGTTCTTTTGTGTTGTGTGAAGTCACAAAGCAAACACTGGCTGTTAGTCATTTGGCCCATTGTGCTAAAAACTCTCTTGCATCATCCCAAAGCAACTAGACAGAAAAAAATTATTGCATTATAATAGATTTTTTTAAATCATAGGAGTGCTAATATTAGTTTTCCATGTTTTTCTCAGGTGAAGGATTTGACCAAGTTTTTGGACCCCAGTGGCCTCGGAGTCATCAGTTTTGAAGACTTCCACCGTGGAATCTCAGCAATCAGCAATGGAGGTGAGACCAGCGTTCCTCTAGTCTTTCTCTTTTTGTAAAAACACTTTTTTTTCTGCTTTCTTTCCTGACCTGTCATCAAACTTTCAATATTTTAAACTGAATCTCGGGTGCTTCATAACTTTGATCGTAACTGCAGCAGTTATATTAAAAGTCCACTAATACCAGAGGGAATGGCTAATATTAGTTTCATCAGTATTACAGATTTAGAGGTATTCAAACAGGCAGATAAATGGTCATTTGGCTCCATTTCTCAGATTAGCAAAATATCTAATGTTCAGTGAAAGCATGATGGTTGTCTCGGCATTAGAGTTGATGAGTTTCAGGTGATGTCTCATTCTCAACGTCCTATTGATTTCTAGGATTCCTTCTCAAGGCTTTCTAGGTTACTCAGCTCTGGTTACGTTGGGCATTAATAAGTCATGCTCTGGAAAGTGTGACACACACACACACACACACGCACGGGCTGATTGGCCTTGGTTCAGAGCCAGAGTGACAGAGTTGAGGTTTGGGCTGAGTGTCTTATTCTCTTTAATTATTTACCTTCCTGTCCTCGTTCTCCCGCTACTCTGTTTTGTCTCCTAGGCATCATTATCAAAATCACAGTAAAAGTGGAAAACATTCAGTCACTGCTATCTGTGGACAAATATGTTCAACTTGGATACATTTGTAACTCGTCTGTTTATTCAAAGTCCTGGTATCGTGTTTCGCGTGAGTTAAAAACCACGTTACTGTAGTTACTGACTGCTTTAACACCAGAAAAGACTCGTTTCAGCTGATTTATTTTTCTCTTTTATACCGCTTGGTGTGCTTGTGTCAGTTGCCATGGTTACATGATGTAATGTAAGAAAACAATCTATAGGTCATCTCATTTATTTGATGGGATAGTTAAAAATATACAGACGTGATCACAAATTGTTTACTCCCCCCAGTGTATGCTTGACTCAAAATGAGTAAAGGCTCATTTTCACTGAACAAAGCAGAAATTACAGCTTTACTTTCAATTCTTCAGATTTTCTGATTTTGTCAACTAAATTCAGAACTGAAGAGTTTTTTTTTTTGTCTGACTTGTCATTTTTCTGGCAGACTGATTATTTTATGTATGACCCAGTGAAGCCTAACGATCACAGGACTTTTTCATTTTCCCGGTCACGTGCTAAACTAAAACTTGACTGAGTTTAGCTCCTGCCCACTGTCACATGCTCCTCTCTTAAGTACTGTGTTTACCGCTTGATGTTTGGTGAGTCCGTTCCATGTTTTTGGCAGGAAAACGGTTTCCCGTCCGTGTACGATAGTCTGATATTTATTTTCCCTGGTTGCTTGTACACTGATGGTAAAATTCTTCTATTAACAATCTGTCATTAGATCTGCTGGATCCGTTTACCTTTATTGTGTCTACGTTTAAAAGAAGCCAAAACCTGCTGTTCCTGCTTGAGATTCAGTTTCAGTATCAGCCTCCTCTGTTTAATTTCTGCCTCCGTCATCGCTGACATGTCTGCTTTTATAATAAAGACATTCCTGCTGGCTTTGGAAATGCACAGCACCATGTGGTGTTATGGCATTATGGCATTATGGAGGGGAGGTGAGCTAAGAGTCTGCAGGTGCGTTGTTCAGGAGAGGACAGCTTCTGGAGACCTGTCTCAGTTTAACAATCTGCAGGGCCGCTCGGGCAAAGTGTTACATAAGTCCCAGGAGCACCAAACCCTTTGGGTGGACTGGTACGCTGGAATCTCTGTTTGTGTTCTCTTCCCTCAGCAGGGCGTCTTTCACATCTCTGTTTACTAGTTACAAGAGCTGCAGAATGGCTGATGGGACTTTCGATGGTCCATCTCAGGTTGCAGCGCAGAGTGCTCACTGACCGATATAAATGTGATCTGGGTAGCTTCTAGTCCCTAGTTTCTATATGTTTATTTATCTCTGCTTCTGTGGAAATCTGAGCGTAAAAGGTGCATAATGTTTGCAGTCACACCACGTTTGGGTTGCTGCCTGTACATGTACCAGGAAGCCAGTTGGGTTCACATTAGAGAAATACTGTTTTAAGTGTCAACACATCTTACAAACCTAATCCAAGAGTTAGAATAAGACCACTCTGAAACGGTGACGATATTTCTGATCGTTTTCTGCCTTTTCTACTTCTGCTTTGTTCCTGGTTATTAAATGGCACCAGTTCTCCTCACAAGTCAGCTTTGGGCATTTCAGGCAGGAAGTAAACAAGCAGACACCTCTGTGCTCCTCTCTCTGCATATTGAATATCTGTTTGTACAATGACGTGTGCCCCTTTACATCAGGTTTATGTTTGCTGAGTCTCTGTGACTGACTTTGTTTGTTCTGCTCACTTTACCCCCCCCCATCCCGTTTCATGTTGCTAGGCCCTGAGCCACAGCTCTACAACGTCCCCTACAGCCCAGAGGACGGAGCCGTGGGCTGTCCGGAGGAGTACGACGAGGTGAGGTTTAACCCTTCTCTTGTCAGACACGTAGTTTACATGTCGGTGTGTTTGGTTTGCAGCCGAGCAGACCTGAGAGAGGCCACAGCATGAACTCCTGGTGCACTATGACTCTGACCTGCTGTAATCCACCCAGCGGCTTGCAGCACTATCATTACCTCTCTGTGCGGGCGCCACAGACCCAACACGCTGGTTTGGCTGACACAAAATAGCATCTGGCAGTAGAGGCTTTAGCGTATTCTTTAACAAATATCGAACAGACTGGAATGTGCAGGGGTTTCTGAAGGTTCGTAGACGTGTGTTTTTACAGTTGTGGTCGACATATCTGGAATTCTTCCCTCCCCTCGTGCACAAAACTTGTATATTTAACCACCAGTACTGCTGGCCTCTGCAAGATTCAAGTGTTCTTTTGTTCCTATTTTGTTCCCTGTAGGAGTTTCACTCTCTCTCTCGTTAGTGCCCCCTCCTGTCATGTTTAGGAACTGCTGACACATAGCGCCCCCACCAGGTCTGGTTACTGCGCAGAAGTGTCTAATTGACCATCTAAATCAGGGATTCATCTAATACCTTTGGTAAAAAGATACTTTGTAAGAAAATCTTTGGGTAAAAATGAGATTTGGGTTATTTAATATTTTATCCCCATGTACTCTAATCAGAAAAGGTATTGTTTCCCTTTCCCTGTGTTCCCAAGTCTGTAACACAGGGAAAGGTGTGTACTGGGGCCTTTTTTTGTAATTTCAGCTTTTTAAGCATAGATTTCTTTATTTTAAACTGAATCTATTTAATAATGTACTCATAATCTTAGGTATTCAATGTGAGCATGAACTATACGTGCGGTATACCCAGTCTGTGTGTTATTTTACATTAAATATTCCCCAGCTGACCCGGCTGCTGTTTACTGGAACTCATGAGAACTTTAAACTTTTTTTGACGTACGCCACACCTGTGTTGGTTTTTTCCCCTGAAACTTCAGGCAGAGGGAGCTTCTCCTCTCAAAGGCAGGACTGTTCTGTTGCTGTTTGCTTTCAAAACAAACAAGTCGAGGGTGTTCAGCTGAATCCTGGCATGAGGAAACTAACACCCCATCCAGCACACGTTTAGAGACTCGTGTTAAGTTTAACGTTCCTAAAAGGTAGCTGTGGGTTTTCCACACATCACAAATGAGCAATTCTGTCGTTATCGTTGTTTTAAAACACCGTGTACCGTTGTCCTCCCCATCGCCGCTGTCTAACAGCACGTTCATTTCCTGTTGGCGCACAGCGTTGGGACTTGTAGTTCTCTCTCACTGCAGCTGTAGACCTGAGGAACGTGGAAGAGTGATTGATACGCTTAATACTTGGACAGGAAATTTAAAACACTTGGCCAGCTGATGGTGCAGTGTTTTCACTTTAGAGCTGGCAGGAGCTGGTCCCACACTACAGCTGACTTTGGAGTTTGACCCTGTCTCCGCCCTCTGACCACCCACTGGAGCAGAACACGGTGTGGCAGTAATTTACATTTTTTCCTGAGAACACTCTGAGCGTGTTTTGTCGGAGGTGTTGGGAGGCTCTCATGGCAGGGCAGTGAAACTGGGCAGAATGGTTTTGGATATGGTGAATATCCCCCTGGGCCCTGCTCCTGCTGCTCCTCCATGCAAACCGGTACGTCCTCTTTTATTGATTTGCAGCTGTGACACCTGAGGATTTGTCTTACGACTCGGTAAAGTGATGGCTGGATGTTTGTGGTGTTGTGTGATTTGTCTTTCTACCCACTCGCATTCAAAATGAGCTCCGTTTGAAAATGTGTGTATTTTTTTCCATTTAGTGTTTTGATCAGCTGCTGACATTTTAATTATTTTAAGTAGTCCAATAAAATATATCCTTGTTTGCTGATAAAGTCCTACTCATAAACTTCCCCTGTTGGTACTATATTGTAAATTATCCAGATTATTATGGATTGGTGTGTCAGCTGATAAAATGTGTTTTTTGTTTTTTGTATTTGCAGCAGAATGAGGTGACAGACAGTGCATACCTGGGCTCTGAGAGCACATACAGCGAGTGTGAAACCTTCACAGATGAAGACACTGGAGCCCTGGTTCCTCCTGAGATGCATGAAGAGGTGGAGACGGACAGCGGCATAGAAGCAACACTCAATGACCCTGAAGATGCTGGGAATAGGTCTGTGTGTGTGTGTTTTTCCCCACATGCTCACATTTCTTCAATCTGTCTAAAAATGACCACATTTCATTCTGAATCAGTTGTTTTACGTCACAATTACGTCTGATTTGTTTGTCTCGATACCCAAAACAACGTGGTGCAATCGTAAATTTACCATTAGTTCTTGTTTTTAATCTCCAGCCAAAAGGTTAACCCTGAAGCGTTGCTGCACTGACCTCCATCACCCATCACATGATTGATGACCATACGCGCCCGATATGGGATCACTTGGGTTCTATCTGGGTCAGACGGCAGATTAGATGGTGGCGGTGGACTGCCACCACTACGTTGACTTAAAACCTTAAATTCCCATGTGTACACCAATCTGCAGGAAGTCAGCTAAACATGCATTTGCTCCTCTTGACTTACCCTAACGCCCATACTGATGAGAAGTGTGAGTTTAGGGGAAAACGTCGTCACTTAGGGAGGTGTTTTCAGCTATTCTTTACCACAAAAAGGAAATTGTAATTAAATGTTGAATGCAGCTTTGTTTATCATTGCGTGACATGATCACGGCCCTTCCTCACGCCGGTAAGACTTTACTGTTTACACCTGCTGCAGGCTAGCGCTGTACTCCTGCACATGACTGTTGCTGATTCAGGCTTTTGGCCAAACGTGAGGAAGTCCAGTTCAGCCTTGGTACTTGGTATCTGCTGACCAAGTGGCCTGTCCATCCGGCTTCAGGATGGATTAGTGGTCTGCTTGATGTGGAAGGGGTTTGACTTCCCAGTCCATGTGTGAGCCTTGAATTCCAGGAAGTGTTGACATAGCTCATTTTTTTCTAACCTTGTATTTTCTCTTTTAGCTCCCTTTGACAAAGCCTAGTCTGGTTCCTTTATTCCCCCACTTACTCAAGCCATCATCCCACCAGGTTTGCTGCTGACTGGGATCTAACCGTTCTCCTTCTGGAGTCCGTGACCTTGACACGCTCACATTCCTGCAGTCTATTTACCAAACACTGTGGGCTCAGTTTACTGGAGAGTCCAGACTCTTTGCTGTGTTGGACTTTAATTACAGGCTTAACTGTGGGGGACAAACATCCTGACCCTTGAAACCAGTGTTTTGTTGTCCTGGTTGGCGAGGTGAACCCAGTCCAGACACAGAATCCAGTGCCGTGTTAAGAAGAGTATATGCACTGAGCTATAGATTAGGGCTCTAACAGGATTACCCCCCCTCTCCTCTGTCCTGCCCATGCGTCCCCACACACATTCGGCTCTCGGACAGTCAGCAGGACTGTCTGTTGGTTGTCACTGAGCCTCAAATCTGATTAGGCCAATCACAATCAACCCTCTAACGCTGCAGCCTCAGACCTTCTGGATGTTACCGCCATGTTATTTGGGCATTCTTGTTAGCTTCTCTCCAAACTGGGAAGCCTAGGTCTTTGTTTAAATTGGTGAAACCTGTAAAACTTCAGGATTCCACTCTGGTTGTCAGGAGTTTTAACTCCAGTTGCCCCGAGGCTTTCACGCCAGGGCAGCGGAGGGCGGTTAAAGATGCGTTCTCTCTCTTCGCCATCTCTAAGTGTGAGGGACCTCAATATGGGGCCCCGCTGTAAGAGGCTGGGTAAAGGGTAAGTGACGACGGCGTCAGTCGTTCTTGTTGAAGTGATTCAGCTTTGACTCTGTCTAGGTAGTGCTAAGGCTGAACCACTGCTATATGATTTTAGATGTTTGTCTGAACCAAGCAGCGGATTGGGATTACTCTTATAGAAAAGCTAAATGAGTAATGTTTTAGTTTGCTGAGGAAGCGAGCTTTTATTGCTGAGTTAGCCGTCCTCATCCTGTGTTCAACAACTCCTGTAGACAACAGGAAAGGCAACCTTTTCACCTTTCCTGTTAAAGACAAATACGACCTTTATTGAAACTCTACTCAGTCGTGACTTCCAACGCCAAACACACTTGCTGCTGAGAGCTAAAGCGTTTTCCTCTCTTCTGTATTCAGTGTCCAGGCCTGTTGTTTCAGGCAGAGCAGCCTTTGGGATTAATGTGAATTAAGAGATTACCTTTTGAAGAACAAGTCCAGATTGTTGCTCTTCAGGGGAAGATTAATTGTGCTTGTTTGGGATTTAGACCAACGCCTGATCAGTTCCAGGCTTCTGTAGCTCATTTAGTTTGACTGAGTCACCATCACACGACCGTTTCCACCCTCTCAGACATCAGCCTCATTGTTGCTTATCCCTTCTCTTTGTAAGTCGGACTCTGTTAGCCGTTGTCCCTGTTATTAGCATAGCTGCTAACACGATTGTACATGCCCCCCAGGTTTTCCCTGAACTCTGAGCTCCACAACCACTCGCTGGTGACGGTCATCGGTGGAGAGGAGGAGCACTTTGAAGACTTTGGGGAAAGCAACACTTCAGAGCTGATCTTGGAGAGCAGCGTGGACGGTTGTAGGGTAGAGGGCGACTCCCTGCTCTCACCGCCGCCCGAGCACGCCAATGGCTCATTGCTTCTCTCTCCCAGGTAGAAACACACACTGCTGTTCACATCATGTAACCTGACACTAAAGCCGGGTTTAAATTAAGACAGCCCAAATGTTTAATTTCAGAATTAAACAATCCTTCAGAGAGAGAAGTTTCTAAAGTCTGACGTCAAGCATTCATCAAATTCTATTTAGAGACGTTCCTCTCCCTTTAGTCTGCCTCATTTATTTGTCTAAGGGCGAGATAAGAGGAGCTGCTCTTGTCTTATCAGTCTGAAAATGCTGACTGCGTTTTTGTTACCATCCTGGATGTTCTGTGCCTGTTTGAGTCGGTGCGTGCTACAGGTGGCATCTGCTGTGTTCTGGGACAGTCGTGAGCGGACGTGGAGTTCAGACATCTTGAGAGGGCCTAGTCACTCCTGTCATACAGATACAGGCTGACTAACCAAACAAAAACACTTGATGCTCTTACTCAGGTCTTTTCCCTTTTCCCTCCCTCGCCCCTTTCAGCTGGATAATGGTCATTTCTCATTTGGCTGATATTTCCAAGCTTTGCCAGGAAACTAAACCACTTACTGCCTGCTCTGTAACAAAGGGCCAGCCTGGGTTTAGCGCTGGTTCATTAACCACTTTTAGACTTCAATGGATTTTTTTTTTTTTTTTTTACCATTTTGATGTGTAAAGGTTATAATAACCATTGGAGATAGCTTCCTGAACAGCCTCTGTTTGGAGAAATGGATTACATCCAACAGAGCTGATGAGTTAGCTGCTAGTTGCTGAATCTAATCAAGGGTTCAGTGAAGGCAGCTGGACATCTGCAGACATCAAAATCCTTCACCTTTTGGCGAAATTTGCAGTTTTGAATCCAAAATGGGTCACCTACATGATTCGTGCAGATCTGATGAGAAAACATGGGGGGGGCAGTTAGACCAGCTTTTCCAGTTCAACCAGTTTCTATATTATCAACTGGGGAAAATATTCAAGAGGATTTTTAAGATGCCCCCGACACACCAACAGTAGAAATTTTTTTAAAAAATGTCTGTCGGCACCTTTTTCACCCTTGACCCGTTTTCATGTCTGCTTCTGGAGACAACTGGATTTTTGCATCTCCTCTGAGGAGCTTTGTCAAAAAAGCAATACTGACTACGTTTACATGCGGCCAATATCTGGGTTATGATCGGGTTAAGGTCGGCATTCGGGTTTCTGAGTTGATCAGAATAACCCGTTTACAAGCATAAATAGAAAGAGCTACCCCTAACTTGCATAACCCGATTTAAATGCGGATGTTGGGGTAGCGTCAGGACGTATGGACTACGTCAAGACGCAATATGCGCTTACCTTCTTGTATATTTCGCTGTCTCTGTACTTTCGGCCGTCAACAAAAGACATAATGTTCATACTTTTCACCAGACCGATGAAGACAGAGGTTTTCTCGTCACTCCAAAAGTGTGGTGCCCTGCCGCGACTCGCCACTCGCCATGTTGCTCCCAACTTGTTGTTTACTTCCGGTGTTCTGGCGCATACAAGACGTCTCGCTACTCAAAAGACCAAGATTCCTTGCGAACAGAGCATGCGCAGAACACACGCCTTGATGGGGATATCCCGATATGCGTTTACACGACCAAACATTCGGGTTAGAAAAGGGTTACCCCAGGTGTAGAAACCGACTTTTTGGCGGTGTTTACAAGGACCTTCGGAACCCGGTTATTGTGAATATTTGTGTTTTAAAAGGGTTACTGGCTGCATGTAAACACACTCACTGACACAATAGGTCTTAACGACATTAGCAACTCTTTAGGGAGTAGAGAGGTGGGGCATTCATAGGTAGTTTCAGCTCGTTAAGCAACAACAAACGGCTACAATTTATAAGCTTGACCCTCCCATATTCCTGTCAGAATTGAAAAAGCTTCTCGGATGAGAAGCAAAATGTTTTCAAGAAACCAAAAGAGTCCAGTTGCCTTAATTAAACCCTTTAGATTACCATGACCTGGATGACTGAGAACCTTCACCAGCTTATTGTTGAATCTCCTTTTTGATTTCTAAAGTTACTTAATTTTCTATTTCTTCATCTGTCTTTGTCAGACACATGACATGCATGTCAACCACAGCCCCTTAGCACCATTTTTGGGGGTGTGACTCGCGTTGCTACGGAAAGCCACAGCTGAAGTTGAAGCAGCAGCGAAAAGGATGAATAAAAAGAACAAGAACGTATGCACTCCTTACAGGAATAAACTTTTAGAGGAGGACAGGGATCTGTATTTTCAGAAACTGTCTACAGTCGACAACGTAGATCCCTACGACCTCAGAGGAACCAAAAGGAGTTCAGACGTTTTATTACTGCCGAAAATATGACTTGAGTAAGTGTTCACTACCTCAACATATTTATAGTCAAGTAAAAGTAAAAAGTAGCCTTCCAGAAACATGACTCCACTAACAGGTGCTGCGCCTGGTTTTATTGTCTAGACGAGCCTTTAATTAAACAAGTTATTATCAGTATAAGTTACAAGCAGGTACAGAAACAACACCTACATCAGATGTCGTGCTAGTTTGTTTTCATTTTGACTAACAGAGTAAAAAAAAAAGGTCATGATCGTTTCCTCCGTTTTAGTTCCATAAATTTTTCATTAACTTATTCGCTGCCAGCGTTTCTCAGTTTTTACTGTTTTTTTTAAGAGCCACAGAATGTTGCGCTAGGATGATGTCGACGCCAAAACACCCAAAACAAAGAGTAGACTCACCTCTTACATCAGGAGGAATCCTCGCGTTTCGAGCGTTATCCGTTCTTTCATAATCCGTTGTTGAAATGTGATCGGCAGAAGCTTTTCTGGTTCGCTCATCGCTTTTTTTTACAGCAGCGGCCCAAAACGATCTCCTAACTCATGGATTTTCTGCTTCCTGATCACGTGACGTATGCGGATGAAGGTCGGCTTTAGAGCTCAGAGTTTGATCTCACGCTGCGGGGGCTCGTTCCGATGCCCACGGTAAAAAAAATGCAAATGACTACTTTAGTACAAATCATGTCTATACTGAGTCCGTCAGTCCAGACCACATCTATAGGACATCCAAACTAGGTCTTCACACAGTGGGTTCTAGTGAAAATAGCATGGAGTGTAGCATTTTCTGCAGCTTTATAAGCTCACGACACACAAAGCAATGCTTGTGTTGTTTATACACCTAGCTATCCTATCATGCAATGCGCTACAGCACCTGATGCATCTGACAAAAACCGATATAAGCAAAATTCTCCTCATGCATGTTGTATCGTGCTAATGGAAAAACATGGATGTGAGAAGATAATGGAGCTAATTAATTAACAAAATATCCATGAATCCAGCCTGATTAGTTGGTGAAACATTGTTCCCAGACAGCTTGAGCAGAAATCTGCTTCAACTTTAAGCTGAAATATTTATAATCTCCCAAAAAATCCTGCATCCCACAGACTTCACCCACTCAGTGTGAATGCGTCACCGTGTTTCAGCTCACTGGTGCGCACGGAGCAGAGCCGCCTACACACATGCCCACATCTACACGCTACAGCACCGAACACACAGCACCGAACACACACACACACACACACACACACACACACACACACACACACACACACACACACACACACACACACACACACACACACACACACACACACACACACACACACACACACACACACACACACACACACACACACACACGTGTTCCTTCCCAGCTTTGGGAGAAAGTGACTCGTTGTGACCCTCGTTGGTCCTTTTTTTCTGCCTCTGTAAACAGAAACACGTTCCAGTTTGTTGTGAACTGAGGCCTCAGCAGGAACAGTTGTCTCTATAAAGCTAAAAGATTGTTAAAACTCCTGTTTCTGTGTCGCCGTAAGCCCAGCTGTTGCTGCAGGTCTGTGAAGCTCTTCTGAACAGAGGAAACTGATTCTTTTATCTGAGGGACTCGCTGATTCACAGCCACGCTGCAGCCTGTTTGACGTCTCCTTTCACCTAAAATCCTCTCACTGTTGCTCTGTGGATTTCACCTGCACCCCCAAAGGTGTTCTGTCCCACCTGAACCTCCTGTCTGTCACTGACCACCACCTCCCCCTCTTCCTCCCTGTTTTTCCTCTTTCCAGCACACCTGCTTCTCTCCCCGACCGCTTTCAGAGCTATCTCAGGGAGGAGGCGCTGGACTTTTTCTGTAGCCAGTGTCACAAACAAATAAATCGCCTCGAGGACCTCTCGGCTCGCCTCAATTTCCTAGAGATGACTAGGTAACGCGTCATCCCCCAGCCCGCTCGGACGATCAGCTGTGTTTGCAGTGCTGATTAGATGCAGCTCAGAATGTGTGCATGCTGTCTTGGTTTGCAAACATGCTGTGTGTTGTGATGGCACATACTTACGCACATGTGTGTTTTATCACCTGGGCCTTCCTCCTCCTGCAGAGTCGGCTCTGATTTGTTAATAACAGCATTGGTTTAAAAATCCACAGCCAACATGTTTCTTAAAACCAACTAAATTAAAATGCTCACCTGAAAGTTGGCGCAGGTATTTGCATTCATCTGATTTTTAAATGGATGAAAAAGTGATGCTGTTTTCACGGCTCAGTGATTATTTCACATCATGCCTTAACACGTAGATTGTGTTGCTTCAGAATAGTTTTCCCGTAGTCGGAGATTTTAGGATTTGTTGGAACAGCTGCTGATCCAGGATTAAGGACCATTAGTAGAATTACAGAAACTTACAAATAAGCAGCCTAATTATAAGAGTTCAATGTTAAAGGAAAAAAAGTGATCATTTTTGTTTTACTTTGTGATTTTAGTTTAAAATAAAGCAAAAGTGATTTAGAGGTTATGAATGTTTCTGTGATTCTGGTCCAGGTCCATTTAAACCTGTTTAGCAAACCTGATCCAGCATCAGCTCTCTGTAGAGACGTTTGTGTGTGTGTGTGTGTGTGTGTGTGTGTGTGTGTGTGTGTGTGTGTGTGTGTGTGTGTGTGTGTGTGTGTGTGTGTGTGTGTGTGTGTGTGTGTGTGTGTGTGTGTGTGTTTAGTTTTAGTTGAACTCAACATCAACATACCGTTTTGTTTTATGAATGTAGCTCTAAGTATAAAAGACAAAAATGGAGTATCGTATCAGTCGTTTCATCTTCCTGATCTTTCTCCCTTTTCCGTTTCTCCCCATCCAGTGCTGGCAAGAGGCTGTCCAGTAAAAAAGTGGCGAGGTGGGTCAAAAGCCTCCCGCGTTTCAATGGAGAGCCCTTATATTTATTGTGAATAATGTTTGTTCCTCTCTTTACTCTCAGACACCTCCTCCAAAACAGCTCGATGACGTTGGACACCGTGAGTGACTTGACGCGGGACATTCTGGAGCTTGCTGATAATGACATCTCAGACAAGGTGGTGCTCCTCTAATTTGAGACCAGTTGATTAATCAAATGAAAGACTTTTGAGCATTAGATTGACCGTTGGACTTGACGTCATTTTCTCCCAGGTGCTCCTCCTGGAGCGCCGCGTGGCAGAGCTGGAGAAGGAGTCTGAGGCATCAGGAGAGCAGCACGCGCGGCTGCGTCAGGAGAACCTTCACCTGGTGCACAGGGCCAACGCGCTGGAGGAGCAGCTGAAGGAGCAGGAGCTCCAAGCCGACGAGCAGCTGCAACAAGAGACTCGGCGTCACAAAGATGCTTTGAGCAAACTGGAGAGGGAAAAGAGTCTGGAGCTGGAAAACCTGCAGGCCAGGTGAGCAGGTTCAGATGATGACCAGGATGCGGTCATGTTTGTGTTAGAGTGTGTATGACTCTTTACTGCCACCTTGTGGTGTTGAGAGACCAGGACAAGTTGTCTTTTAGGTTTTATTTGAAATCTCATGAGATGTGTTGTTTTGTTCAGGCTGCAGCAGCTTGATGATGAGAACAGTGAGCTGAGGTCCTGTGTTCCTTGTCTTCGAGCAAACATCGAGAGACTAGAGGAGGTAAAACTACCGCGTTTCTGCTTTCATCATCACGTTCCTCTCATTAGTTCAAGTTGTTTTAACATCCCTTCTTCCAACCTTTAATTTTTCATTTTTAGGAAAAACTAAAGATTCAGGATGAGGTAGAAATCTTGTCGGACAGGTTTCAGGAAGAGACAGAATCACGCAGGAAAATGGCTGACAAGCTGAGTCATGAGCAACACCAAAACCAGAAGGAGAAGGAGAGCACGCAGGAGGTGGGCTCAAACATCCTATATGTACACTGAGATTTAGCTGTAATTTGTCCTCCTCTGCTCTATAAATAAAGCTTTATCTCTCTGTTTTCACCCCTTTGATGCGTTTGTCCCTCAGCTTATTGAAGACCTGCGTAAACAGCTGGAGCACCTACAGCTTTACAAGCTGGAGGCAGAAGCAAAGCGAGGCCGAACCCCCGGGGCGGGGCTGCAGGAGTATCAGACCCGAACCCGCGAAGCAGAGCTGGAGCAGGAGATCAAACGCCTCAAACAGGTGGCTGCCGCTTTGTCCAGTCTTCGTTTTACTCTTTCTCTTTGTTGCAGGAGGTTTTACAGCCTCTGTGTTCCTTTAGGACAACCGCTCTCTAAAAGAGCAGAATGACGAGTTAAACGGACAGATCATCAACCTGAGCATCCAGGGAGCCAAGAATCTGATGACCGCCTCGTTCTCCGACTCCCTGGCAGCTGAGATCAGCTCTGTGTCTCGTGCAGAGGTGGGTTTAGTGTTAACGTTTTAATGTTCTGTTTTCAGCAGCACTCTTCCTGACGTCAGTTTTTCTGTTTTAGTTGATGGAGGCGGTTCACAAGCAGGAGGAGATAAACTACAGACTCCAGGACTACATAGACAAAATCATTGTGGCCATCATGGAGTCCAACCCTTCCATCCTGGAGGTCAAATAGACTCCACACAGCCAGAGGGACCTCTGACTCCACAGGCTGTAACATATATATGAAGACATGAAGGAGGAGGAACACGATTCAGACGGGATGTAAAAATCTAAATATTCAGACGTTCATCTGGAAAAAGAAGACATCTCCCAACATTCTTCAAGAAAAGACGAATACTAGATTTCTGAGAAATCCGTAACTGGTGGAAAAAATAAGCTTTTTTTTTTCTTTGAGTTTGTGTGAATCTTTACGTTCGTCCTCCTGAAGGCACTTGGGTTCTGGTGACGTCCATGTTTGTGGCTAGAGGGACCCGGTAGACTTCCTATTTCCTGTTTGGATTGAGCTAAAACAGTTGGACCAGAAGGCCTTCTAAAAGGTTATTCACCAACTCTCCACCCATGCCTCGGCTCCGTCTGCTCCAGGATGGAGATCTGTGGGCCGATGCCCTGAACAGCGCTGAGTCGTTCTAATCATGAAGCGCCGCTCACAGGAGGAGGAGGAGAGGAGGTTGTTTTTAAAGCTTCTCATGCTGCTCTTCAGCCTGGTCTGGCTGTCATCCCAGCAAACCCAAGTGAGGGACGTTTCTGCTGATGTGCAGATGAGAAATGTCTGGAGGGTTTGTTCCTGTGTGTTTGTGTGTGTTACAGCCCCTTTTGTATTTAGTTTTGGGCCAGTTGACTATAAAAGGAGGTCTAAAGATTGACTCGTTATTTTGTTCCTAAGTCTCACAAGTTTAAAATCAAAGTGGCTGTTTTTAGCGCTTGGTGGTTCATTTTTAACGATGAAACAGGGTCCTGGATCTCAGGTGGGCTGAAAAAGCACTACATTTCCAGCTCGTCCCATTAGACAGAGTTCAACCGACACGTGTTGACATGGGGGAACCTGATGAGATCTCTCAGCGACTTGGTTTTTGAAGTACAGCCCACCTGATTCCAGCATTCTCTCTCTCTGAGTGAAATCTAGAAGCTCATCCTTACTTTTGTCAGTAAAACCGTTCTTGCAACTGCAATGCCGGCATTTGACCGATTGTATGTAAGGGACTGAATGGTTGTACTTTGCACTACGTTTTGATGTGTTGTTGTAAAGCTGTTCATCATGAAGGGATCAAGTCATAAATGAGGATCGTTTTACAGCCTTTGTGAATATGTAAACGTGGGATTAGTTGCTGTTACCGCACCATTGTACCGCCATGCTTAATGTGGCCTCAAACAATCCTGCAGCTGTGTCTTAACGTTAGATTATAGCTAGATTTTTTTTCCAGAAAACATGGCAGAACTTGTGCAGCAATAACACTCGGTGATTGTCCTTTAGGTGTAGGCTGATTGAACAAACATGCTCTTTGTTCCTTCTCCTGATGTGGACGATTACCTGGATGTTGGGAATTGTGTTTGATTAGTAGATCGGGAATGTTGCAGGTTGTTTTTGAACTGCGTGGCACCAGTGTGCTCAGTGTTCCTGTTTGGTGTCCCACTCTTCTCCACTATCTCAATGCTCTTCTTCACCTGCCACTCCGTGGGGGGGGGGGGGGGGGGGGGCCTTGGATGTAAATGACTTGTAAAGATTTTTCTACACTCATTCTAGATTCTAGGTATTTTTATAGTCACAAGAGGAAAAGATGGTTTTGTTTTTGTTTGTTTTACACAGGATCAACAGCGGCCTGGACTCCTCTCTAGCATGTAGCGTGTACAGCATCTTTTAGGGTTCTTTTGTTTCTAAACATGCAGATATTTATTCAGCGACAACTCACACTGATCTGTTCTGCTGAAAAACCCTTGTTTTGACTTCCCCTGGGGAGGTTGTACACTGATTTAAATGTGAGGGGGAATGTTTTAAGGTTTGTGGGTGTGTTGCACAGAAGGCTTGAACCTGGTCATTCGCTGAGGTCCCTTCCAAAACGCTGATGTTGCTCTGATCTGTTCAGATGTGGCAGATCGTGCTGTTGTCTTCCCAGATGGAGTTGGGTTCTGCATGAACACTCACATCTCTAGTATATCTTTCACTTGCATTTTGACTGACAGATCTCACACTCTGACCTTCATCGCTGGAGTTGTTGGATGTGCGATTTTTTTTTCCTTTTTTTTTATCTCAACACTTACATCCTCACCCCCCAGTTCAGTCTTCTGCTCTTTAAGGGGAAAGGGTGAAAATATTCCAGACATGTGAGCTTAATTTCATATATTGTCTGTTTCTGACGGTTTGATGACCAACATGGCTGGCAACAGTACGATTAGACAGAAAACATTTGCATTCATCGGAGCTGTATTGCACTTTAACCAGATCTAATTTTAATTCCAGTTTTAAAATGACCAAAGATGGGATTGCTTTGAATATCAGCGATTCCTCTTTAGATAATACTTAACCTGTTCTTGTTCGCCCTGAAAAGAGAGTCAGAAGCTGGTCTGCTAGTCTAAACACTGTGCCTCTGCGTCTCAAACCTTGCCTCTAAGCTGACGTGAGGATGAGCCCCTGGGGTGAAAGCACTGACCACGTTCCTGTCAGTTTGTTAAATTATTCTGTCAACCTGAGCTGTAAATATCCGTTATCTTTTTGTTTTGTTTTTCTGTCTCAAGCTCACTTCCAGTGTCCAAAGAAAGTTCGCTCAAGGCACAAACGGCACTACTGGAGTAGTGCATGGCTTGCCATTATGTGACATGGGAAGATTTAAAGAGAATATTGTAGAAAGGAGAATCTGTAAAACGTAAATTTATTCCTATTTTCACATATAAATGTATAAATTATTACAGTATTGGGTACAGCTGTATATTATTTTTGAAGCTCCCCAAAGTGATTTAATCTTGATTGTTACAAGGGAAGTATGTTGTAAAGGCAATTTTATGGTAAGAAGTGAAAGTAAGAATAGAATAAATAAATAAATGGAATAAAATACCCGTGTGTGGTTGTCTCGTTTATTTAGTCATGTCTGATAGAAGCAAAAAACAGTTATTGTACAAATTTTTCCAAACTCTCATCACATCTTCCTTTTTGCTGCCCTCAGCCCCACCTGCTGGTTGAGAATTGAACTGCAGAAACTGTCAAAGGAGACACAACTCTACCTGCAGGATGACCAAGAGAATTACGGATTATATTATGTGATTAAAAACTATTTAAATTAGTTTAAAACAAAATGCTTTAATAAAGGTCACAAGTCATGTTTATCCACTCAAGTCCTGAGGCTTTGTCCTAATTTTGACCAACCTTTAATGACAGTGTAATAAATAATTTCCTGAAATTAGTGTTTCTGGAAAAGTTTATTTGGCAGTAAATAAAATTCAATTTGATTTGAAAAAAGAGGATATTGATCCTGAATTTTAATCTAAATATTGCTCATTTTCTCTGTGTAAGGGATACAATATTTAAAAGAGAAAAGGTCCAAGTCTGAGTCAAGTCCCAGAAATCTTTGGTTTCAGTCAGACTCCTTTACAAGTCATTTTTCTCCACCACCTCTGCGAAGGATTTCATTTGGAAACTCGGGTGTGTCTGACATTACTTGATTAAATCCTAAAATTGTCTGCCTAAATTTACATTGTAAGTCTAATTTCATCCTCGCCTCTTTAGTCGTGTTTATGCTTTTTAATAGAATGTGTTTAATATGTAGGTAAGTATTTTTAAACCTACCTTAAATCTAAGTGCTCACGTGTCAACGTTAAATCTCAACACACATACACACAGTCCCAAATGTCAAATATCCAAATAAATAAAAGTACGTTTTTTTTGGCATATTTCAAAACTTTTTCACATGACCTGAAAACACACACACACACACACACACACACACACACACACACACACACACACACACACACACACACACACACACACACACCGCGTTATTATAAAATTAATTGGTATGGTAGAGTAAACTGGCTTAATTTTGGCTTCTTGAACGCTACATTCAAGCCCGGAACCAAAGATTGCCGTTTTGCTCCGGACGGATATATTTTGGTGAAGCACACCGGGTTCCGTGGCGTCACGTTTTCCCACCGAGTTTGAACAGCAAATATCAACTGTTAAATATTTGTCTTATTACAGCGACCGCGCTGTATATTTCATTTATTATCTTATATCTTATTTGTATTTTTTCCTGTTACATTTTAGCAACAGTGGATTTATCCGGCTAACAGACTCAGCGTGGCTGTGTTTTCAGACTTTAGCATACATACTCGAGTCTTTTCATTTCCTTATTGACAATGGGCCAAATATTGTGATGTTTATTTACTTATGTAATAATTTTGTGCGTGTTATTTTTCTAAAAGTGACGGTAGCTGTTGTTTATCTTTTCTAATACCATGGAGCAAGGCTCGATGAATGCTGCTGTCCGACTCACAGTGACTCAGTGTTTCCGGACTCTCGCTTCCTCCGCGGACCATAAAGACGTAGTCGCTGCTCTTCAGACCCTTAACTCACACTTGGATGATGCATCGCAGAGTAACACCACATCGGCTCAGCGGGAGGAGTTCAGGAGAGTCCACTACAGTCGAACCCTTCAGTTTCTGGTCAGCAACATCCACTCAGACTGGCTGCACAGCCTCTCAGCCGCACACCGCAGAGACTTGTGGGACGACCTGTTCGTCAAAGGTCCTCCCGACCAGGCCCTATTGGTGTTGATGGATGCAATAACAGAGCTGAGGTGAGATGAATCTGAGAGTAGACGTGTCAGCTATTGTGTCCCTTGTCCTCTGATGCTCACATGCCCTCTCTGTCTCTCAGATCGTCCGCAGGTCTGGACCACCTGGTCAGCATCACTGAAAGGTTCCTTCAGAGTCATCGTCTAGCTGACCTGCTGTGGTCCTACTGCCTCCGATCAGCTCCCTCAGACTCCCCCCAGCTCAGAGAGACTTTGCTAGGTCGTATAAGCGCGCTGCCGGACATCACAGCCAACAAGTTGCATCCCAACATTAGACCCCTTTTCCTTCCCCAGCAGTATTACTCACTTCTAGCGACAGAGATGCTGACAGCGCTGGAGAGAACCTGCCAGACTCTCAGAGGTCACCGTCTGTTCAAAACTTTTATTATGCATAATAATAAAATGTATATATGTCTGTTTTGTGTAGCTTGTGTTGTCATCCACAGGCGGAACGGACTGTTCTCTGAGTTTTCTGGCTCAAACACTTGGAAAAGTGTGCATCCAGGGGCACAGTGGTGAGTTTGATTCCTTTTCTTTGAATCTGTACAGATAATGTAAGCTTGTTTAGTGGTGGCCTCCATGCTTCAGACTCTTTGGTAATTCATGAACCCACCAATAATTATCATTTATGTGATGGGATTCAAACCAGCCAGACATTATGTTTTTCTGTTTTAACATAATAATGGAACATCATGTGGGAACAAATTATATTTGAAAGTCAGGTTCAGTTTGGAAATGTGTATCAATTCTTATCAAACATATCTCAACTTCATCTCATCTCACTGTTGTGTTTCTGTGCAGTAATCATGGAAAAGGTAATTGTTTCTATATGGGGTAATATGTCACTAAATGGAACAACAGAATTATACAAATTCAACAGCAACAGCAACCAGGTAGTGCCAGTGTATAGGGCATTGGCGCTACAAATGTCTTGACACATAACTGAAAAAACAAAAGTTAAAGTACATCAATCAGAAAAGGGTGGAATGCCTTCTCCAGGTCAGGGATAATGTCCTGCCTCAAGCGGAGGAGTGTAAGTATATCAGGGTCTTGTTCACGAGTGAGGAAAAGATGGAGCGGGAGATTGATGGACGGATTGGTGATACGGGTGTTGTAGTGATCTGCCGTGGTGAAGAGAGAGCTGAGTCAGACGAAGAAGCTCTCGATTTACTGGTTGATCTACGTTCCTACCCTCAGCTGTGATCACAAGCTTTGGGTAATGACCGAAAGAACGAGATCTCTGATACAAACGGCCAAAAAGGAGTTTTCTCAGGAGGGTGGCTGGGCTCCCATAGAGATAGGGTGAGAAGCTCGGTCATCTGGGAGGGGCTCAGAGTAGATCCGCTGCTCCTTCACATTGAGAGGAGCCAGTTTAGGTCCCTCGGGCATGTGATTAGAATGCCTCCTGGACACCTCCCTGGTGAGGTTTTCCAGGCACGTCCAACTGGGAGAAGACCTAAAGGAATACCCAGGACACGTTGGAGGGACTATGTTTCTTGCCTGGCCAGGGAACGCCTTGGTGTTCCCCGGAGAAGCTGACTCAAGTAGCTGGGGAGAGGGAAGGCTGGGCCTTTCTACTTGGGCTACTGCCCTGCAACCTGTCTCTAGATTAGCAGAAGAGAGTGGATGGATGGATGGATGGATGGACGGACGGATGGATGGACGGACGGACATCAAATATATATTTTTTTAAAAGCAACAACAAAGTGGGTAAAACTAGTGTTTTTGAATCTTTGCTGCTTTCTCATGGAAAATGGTTGTATTTCAAACCCTGGGTTGACTTTAGCAACAAGCATTTTTGGGTATTTACTGTGCCCGCTATTAAACAGAACCATTTGTCTCCTCCACAGGCCCAGTTCTGGCCGTGATGGCTCCTCGGCTGTCTGTCTGCACCCGCTCAGACATGGTGTGGCAGAGGGTTTGTTGGAAGCTGCTGGAGAACGTTCCTCAGCGCTGGATGGAGGTCGTTCTCACCGGGCTGGTGCAGGCTGTTAGTGGGTATGTTGGTCCGGCTGGGTCAGCCGTCGGTGTAAATAACACGGTAAACTTTAGTTGTGGTCGTTTATGAAACCCTTTTCTCTCGTTTCCTCTATTTCAGACCGGACGCTTTGAGCCGAGTTATTGGAAATCTAGCTCTAACAAATAAAACGGCTCAGTTTATCTTGACTCATAAACTTCTGTTACTACAATATAAATATGAGGTAATACAGAAGCTTGTGTTGCAGTAAATCCTATTTGCTCTTAATATAAAACACTTGTTTTCTTTTCCGTTTTACTCAGACTCAAGTCTTGAAAACGATACTGGGTTACCTGGCTGCAGACAGAGATCGACGGCCGCTTCTTATTCAGGTTTGGCCTTACAACCGGATGTTGGCAGCCCAAAGTGAAGCATCTAAAACTCGTATTACGTGTGTGTGTGTGTTACCAGGTTGTGCGGTCTGTGTCGCAGGCCTGGGCGAACCCCAGTGCAGTAAAACACACTCCTGTAGAGCAGCAGCTTTATGTCAGCAAAGCCTTCCTGCTGAGTGTGAGTCTGCTGAAGGACTCTGACCTACAAGAGCTTCGCTCAGGTACAACAGAACTAGCTACACTGCAAATATAATCAGACTAGCGTTCTCTGTACTGATGTGGAGTAATTTGCAGATTGCTAGTGCTTTTTTAGATTTGTTGCAGTGCATGCTGGGTGGAATGCAGAGCCACCTGGACAGCAGTGTGGTACGCATCAGAAACATGGGCATGGTGGTAGGGGAGTGTGTGAGCTCCCACGTGGATATCAACGGAACCAAACTCAAGTTTGAGGTAGGGTCTGTTGCAGGTTGGACGGCGATAAACAATCAGCTGGAGATTCAGACTTTAGACTCCCAGTTGGACTAAAATAATCCTGTAAGACATTCATATAAACTTTCATTATGTTGTGTTTTAGTATGAAAAGGACGAGGAAACTCGAGAGCTGCTGTCTCTCATGACTGCGAACACGTGTGATGAGCCTGAGCTTGTGAAGGGGTAAGTGTGACAAGAACTGTTATTTATTCTTCCATCGAATGACTTATTTGATGTCTTCTGCTTGCATTTGTGATTCTTGAAGCATTAACTGACAGTTGGAACAATTTGCAGAAAATGTTCTAATTTAGGGATGGGTACCAAATCAAGCCGACCAAATTTCGTGGTACCGGCCCAGTACCGATTCACAAAATATGAAACGGTGCCTTGTTTATGTACCATAGAGTTCGGTACTTGTCCATTATTATCCAGAACTTGCGAGACAGCGGTTTTCCAAGATGGACAGCAGTGCAAGAGCATTATGTCGTCTGCCGCTGCGGGCCAGCTGTAAACAAAGCAGCATGGTTTGGGTCCACTTCACTAAATGTGATGAGAGACTAAGTGATGACGAAACCAGCGACAACGATCTAAGAAGGAATGACGATACACAGTAAATTTAGTTCACAGCAAAGACGTTTGCTTCAGTTTAATTAGCAGTTTCATAATTCCACAAGGACCCACCCTTCACACAGTTTGTCCAGAGGAGAGGAATGAGCTGGGTTTTAGGTTGTGAAACACCACAATATTAAAATACAAAGAGTTATATGTTATTTGTCGTGATATTTATCAAATATGGTTATATATTGAGAAAAAAAGTTTACTTAAAATATTTAATTGATTAAACATTCAAAAGTATCAAAAATTGGTACCATTAAGTATCGGTATTGATTCCTAGGTACCGGGATTTGGTACTGAATCGATTCAAATGTGAAAGGTACCCATCCCTATTTTCTATTGTAGTTATAATCTAGTGGAGCCTACGTGATAGATGCTAATTTAATTTTAATAGGGATACACAATATATCAGCATGAATATTGGAATCTGTCCGATAAGTAAGACTGCGCCGATATTAACTGCAGCTACATGAGGTGAGATCCACCACGACAAAACTTAACCCCAACAAATTTGTGAGTCCAGACAAGATATTGGGTCGGACTCTGAGAGCATGTGCTGACCAGCTTGCTGGTGTTTTTCTAGACATCTTTAATCTGTCCCTGCTAAGGGCAAAAGTTCCAGTCTGCCTGAAATCCTCAATTATTGTGCCTGTACTAGGGGCTGCATGACTTCATTGTTATTAAAGTCGACAGTCAAGTAATGAAAATGGAGACGACTTCGACTAGTCGTTGATGATGTCATACACGTGGGGGGGGGTTGTTCGCTGGTGTTTTTGAAAATTAAAAATGCGCCAACATTTTCTAAGTCACACACATCTCTTCTAACAACGGTAGTTTCTGCTTCAGCCCTCTCCCCCCTCCCCCTGCGCAGCGGCCGCAAACTCACCGATGCGCCTGCAGCCTCTCGGAGTTCCTGCTGCTCTAAACATTAAAATAATTATTTCATTTTCTGTTCCTCACTTCTGATTACCTTCAGTGGTGTCTGTTTGTTGCAACCACCAGGTACAAAAACGAACTTGTTTTTATTTGACTATTTTTCTGTCCTGTCTCTGTTTATTATCTTCCTGCATCTCCTCTCAGTCCTAAAGAGAAACTGCTACCTGGCTTCATATTTTCACCTCATGAGTTACCTTTGAACTGCAGTTCTAAAAGATCTACTGACCGCAAAAACCGTGGGGTGCGCGCCGGCCGCACCAGTGAGGTGAAATCACCGGAAGACAAAACAGGTGATGCGCTCCGCTCCACAGCAGCAAAACGCGTCAGGCACAAAATAAAAGACAGAAAACATAAAAGGAAATGAGCCGACATGAACGATTGCATGTTCAATTTGTTTTTGAGGTGGCGACACCTAATTTGATAATGTTACTGTGGCCGTGCTCAGGACGCAGATGTTTGGAGCGCGTCAACGATCAGAGCTTTGCATGCGCACGCTGGTTAAGGTTAGGATGGGGGTGAGGAGAAGGTTAAAGCACATCAGGGAAACCATAGCTGATGGATCAGACAGGAATCAGTTTGCCTATAAGGAGAACCGATCTACAGAGGATGCAGTCTCACTTCTACTCCACTCAGTCCTGTCCCACCTGCGTATTCTATTTGTCCACTTTAGTTCTGCTTTCAATTTTAGCTGCATTTCCACTACCGGAACTTCAGAGGAACCCCGAGCCGTTTTCCGAGCTATTTTCAGGAACCTTCTGAGTACCTGCTCAGGGTTAGGTACTCCAGACGACCCGGTGGAGTAGCTGAGCGGAACCTTTGGTTTACTCATGCTGACTGGTTGTAACTCAGTAGGAAATGACATCAGCAGACTTCATCCAGAACAAGCGACATTAGTAAAATTAGAAGAATTGCTGGTGAAGCAGATTGTAAGCAAAGGAAAATAAGCATTGATCACACTTAAAATCTAACTCCTGACACCGGGAAACATGGCGGAATGACGAGACACACTATAGACAGGAGGTCCAACATCTGACAGAGTGGTGTTCACTAGCAATAAAAACAAGGAGGTTATAGGTTGGAAATGTACTTGCTGTTTGTTGATGCTTGTGTTCAAAATGGCTGCCTCGCATCACTTTCATTGATTTAAAGCGTTGTTTGTGCTTGTCTTCTGAAATTAATGCGTCCGAACGCTGCAATATACGACCAACCACCAGGTGGAGTTGACAAAACAAGCGAGTCACACTCATCGCGGTCACTCCATCTCTGGTGTAGAGGCCTTTCATATAATCTACGATATCGCCCTGAAAACAGCAGCATAGACCTGCATATGTTTTGGTGCTGGTATTCTGCCAGCATCCATGAGATGCTAGTCTAGAATGGGATGCTGGGCCAGCATGCTAGACCAACATCCCATCTTGGACCAGCATACTACATACGTATGCTGGTCCACCAGCTGAACACAACACATGCTGGTAACGCTGTCTTTTTTTCCTGCTGTGATCTCAAAATTCACCAGGTACTGATCTCTTATACTGATGCCATATTTGTTTTGGTTGTACCCCACAAACCTGGCTCCCTATGTGGTCTGAGTACTCTACTGTGTCCCCTAGTGGCACTACACGCAGTGTGGTGCTATGCAGCAGCAAGTACGTGAACAAATACGCATACCTGCGTTAATGCAAGGTAAAAAAGCAAGTATATTTCAAGCCATTGTGGACTACAAGAGGAACAGTAAGAGGGTGTACACCCCTATTCTCATACATGGTGAGGTGGTGGAGTGGGTGGACAACATCAGATTCTTGGGTGTGTACTTCATATCCAGTCTGACCTGGAACCTTAACACCTCTTACCTGGTGAAGAAAACCCAATGCAACCTAAAGAAACTGAAGAGGGCTGGACTCTCCTCATCTGCTCATAAACTTCTACATGGCCGTTCTAGAGAGTATTCTCTCTTTCAGTGTGACTGTATGGTATGGAAGCTGCACAAGACAAAAAGGACCTGGCCAGGTGGTGAGAACAGTGTAGGGGAAAGTGGTTGGTCCTTTGTCTGACACCTGGACTCAATATATGCTGGCCGGCTTCAGGGGAGGGCCAGATGTGACAAAAGACAATAAAGAGTTCTATTCTGTTCTAGTTGTGGTTCTAGGTCTATTCTTATAAAAACAAATGACGACACATTCATGTTGGATTTTTTGTGTGTGTGACCTTCAGGGCCGACTCACCTGATGACACAGGACAAACCTCAACATCGGCTCAGGAATCGGTGTCACAAAACAAATCAGACAAAACTAATCCAGGCTCAGATCTGGACAGGTTAGGAGCTCTCTCAGTCATCCAGCCAGTAAATATGTTTTAGTTTTCTCTGTTTCACACAACATAAAGGGATTTTAGAAGTTTTCCTTTTGATCTCTGTCAATCCAGCGATGATGACCTCACGCCGTACGACATGTCTGCCGATCAGAAAATGAGTCGGGCATCTTCTCCTCGTTACCTGCGTGACTGTCTGGAAAGTATGGTGTCTTGTATTGATTTTTTAAAATCTGAGATTATCCTCTAAAGTTTTAGAATTGATATTTATCTGGTTCTGACAGATACATTCCTGTGTGTCCACTGATACAGACCTAATATCCTCCGATGACGCAGAGCGCGTGGAGCTGAGTTTGAGAGTTGCTGAGAGTTTAGTCAGGAGGAACGTCTTTGCAGCCAAGGAGGTCAAATCAGACCCCAACTACTCATGACTTTTAGTACTGTCTTTTTAAAGGTGGTTCTAAACATGAGGCTTTATATTTGTTATTTTCAGATTAGTGTTCAGATGACCAAAGTGCTTCTTCACATGGAGGATAAATTCAACACCAGTGGCTTCCTGCGTCTCAGACAGGCAACCATGGTGGCTCTCACCGTCACTGACTGCGTTCCTGTACGAGTTGATGTTCTCTTCTTGTTAACCCAAAGCATCAATGTTTCATTATTTTTAATTAAACTGTATGTTTATTAGGTGACTCAGTATCTGACGACAGAGTTTTACTCCTTGAACTACAGTCTCCGCCAGCGGCTGGACATCTTGGAGGTGAAAACCATGTCATTTATTTTGTTTTAAGTAGGCCGGGTTCTGTTTTTTGTTCCATATTTTGAGTTCTGTCATGTTTTGGCATCGCAGGTTCTTGCTCTAGCAGCTCAGGAGCTCTATACTCCAATCACGGACGCAAAATTATTAACCCCTGGCGCTGCTGCCTGCACCGAGTTGACTCGGCACCCGAAAAATGACCCGGTTCACTGGAGACAAGCTGTAGAAAAAAGGATTCAAAGCAAAACAAAATGCATCTCCAAGGTATGTAAAGAGAATTCACTCCTTGGTTTTTCTGTCATGCATTTAACTTTTCTAAAAACAAACTAAAGAAAATCCCTTTAAAACCTTTATTTTAGCAGGAATTGTCCCGTTGAGGTTAAAAATGACTTTTACAAAGAAATTCTGACTAAAATAGGCACCTGATAGTTCCATGTAATGCCACTATTAAAATGGCCAAAACACACTAATTAGAAACTAAAACGGTTTACATCAAAGTAGTATAATCACCAGCATGTGTTGGTAACAGGCCGGCTACCAGAACATGGGTCCAAATCAGTGGCGGCTGGTGAATGCTTTTTATAGTGCATTTTAACAGATGTTGTACTGTTAAGAACATGCCTGCCAAGAAATTTGCTTGCCCTATGCATATGAGTAATGAGCCAACTAATTAATATGCTGCTATGCCAAACATAAATTCACACAAACATAAATTATTTAGGCTTTTAGAGTCATTTTTGTGAGAAAGTTTTTTTTGGCCAAACCAAGTGACGTCATCTGAGGGAGTCCTGTTAGCTTAATCCAGTGAAAAATATAGATTATAATGCCGGCGCTGACATGGAGGAAACTTTTAATGTTTACAATTATACTCATGATGGACCAAAACCATAAAGTTATGAGTTTGCTGCTTGCCCCAGAGGGAGAAACCATCGGCCAAAGCAGAGAGATTAAGGAGGAGAAGCAGCAGGTATCTGGTGAGTTAACCATGTTAGCTTAAACTCGTGTGCTAATATAACAATATTGTACTGATTGCTATCACGTACCAGACAACTAAAATAGTATCTGTCAGTTAATATAATATTAATATTAATGAGCGTCTGTCAGCGGTCTCATACTCGCTAATATCCGTTCATGTATCGTAGTTTAGCGCTTAGAAAGAGACGCCTGTCATCCAGTTCTGGAGCTCATGCAGGCTTCTGTGAGCTGGATCCCACCCAGACCCCAGCGAGCCAGTTGAGCTGATATTTTTAAAAGCTGCACACGATCCTTCCCTAGAGGTCCACGGTGGTTCTGATCTGGTTCCGACCAGAAAGCTTGCTCGGCTGGTCCGCTGAGCTGAGAGATAGAGATGCCTGTGATCCGGTGTGATCCACATTCTGTACTGTTCACTTATTTCCACATATTTAAATTACTGTACAGAGGTTTGGGGAAACACCTATAAATGTGCATTATCATCATTATCTGTGTTACAAAAACTGGCTAAAAGGGAGGGGAGGTATCAGTTAAGAGGAGAGTTATAATTCAAACATGCTCGAATCGGTGTGAAACTGTGGAACAGAATGAGTGATGAATTGAAGCAATGTCCAAACATGATGCTGTTTAAAAAAAAGGCTTCAACTCATGATGTTTATGTTTATGTGTTTAGCAGACACTTTTGTCCAAAGCGACTTACAAGTGATAATCGGCATGTTGCTCTTGAGGCTAACAACAACAATAACAACAACTTGACATCAATCATGGAGAGGAGGGAACAAAGGAGTGGACAGTGTGGGGGTGGTGGTGGTGGTGGTGGTGGTGGTGGGGGGGGGGGGGGGGTTGCAGGGAGGGTGCTAGTTTAGAAGATGCTCTCTGAAGTGCAGGGTCTTCAGGAGTTTCTTGAAAATTGAAAAAGAAGCCCCTGTTCTGGTAGTGCTTGGTAGGTCATTCCACATTTGTGGAACAATGCATGAGAAGAGTCTGGATTGTCCTGAGCGTGGTGTAGGCACTGCTAGCCGACAATCGTGTGATGACCGGAGCGGCCGGGCCGAGACGTAAACCTTTGCAAGAGGATTCAGGTAGATGGGAGCCGTACCATCTCGGACTTTGTATGCTGGTGTTAGCAATATGAATTTGATGCATGCTGCTAGCGGTAGCCAGTGGAGCTCAATGAACAGAGGGGTGACTTGTGCTCTTTTTGGCTGATTGAAGACCAGATGCGCCGCTGCGTTCTGGACCTTTTGAAGAGGTCTCACAGTACTGCCTGGAAGACCAGTTAGAAGGGCTTTGCAGTAATCGAGGCGGGAGATGACAGTAGATTGCACCAGGAGCTGGGTGGCATGTTGTGTTAGGTATGGTCTGATCTTTTGTATGTTATACAGCGCAAAGTGGCATGAACGAGCAACAGAGGTAACATGATCTTTAAAGGTCAGGTGTTCATCAATCACAACACCCAGATTTCAAACTGCCTTTGAAGGAGCCAGAGATAGGAAGTCATTTCGGATTGAGATATTGTGCTGTATGGATGGTTTTGCTGGGATGGCAAGTAGTTCAGTTTTAGAGCGGTTGAGTTGGAGATGGTGGGATTTCATCCATTTTGATATGTCAGAGAGACAGTTTGATATTCGTGCAGAGACATTGTGGTCGTCCGATGGAAACGACAGATAGAGCTGGGTGTCGTCTGCATAGCAGTGGTAGGAAAAGCCATGTGATCGAATGATCTCACCCAGTGAGGTGGTGTATATGGCAAAGAGAAGAGGTCCTAGTACAGAGCCCTGGGGGACTCCTGTGGCAAGATGGTGCACAGTAGAGGATTGTCCAAGCCAAGATACACTGAATGATCGTCCTGTGAGGTACGATTCAAACCAGACATGTACTTTCTCTGTGATGCCCATGGTAGAGAGTGTGGACAAAAGGAAGCCATTGCTGACAGTGTCAAATGCAGCCGATGAGTCAAGGAGGATAAGCACTGAGGATTTGGCAGTCGCTCTAACTTCTTTTAAGGATTCAGTCACTGCTAACAGAGCAGTTTCAGTGGAGTGGCCCTTTTTGAACCCAGACTGGTAAGGGTCAAGCAGACAGTTTTGTGAGAGGCATTCTGTGATCTGCTTGAAAGCCACCATTTCAATGATTTTGGACAGAAAAGGGAGGAGAGAGATAGGTCGGTAGTTCTCCACATGATTTGGAGGAAGAGATGGGTTTTTTTTTAGCAGCAGTTTAACCTGAGCATGCTTGAGAGAGGTGGGAAATGTACCGGGTGTCAGTGAAGCGTTGATCACATGTGTGACTGCTGCAGCTACTGTCGGAGCAATAGCTTGGAGCAGCTTAGTCGGAATGGGGTCGAGTGGGCATGTAGTAGGGAGGCTGTACGTGAGAAACTTGGACTCACAGTTCTCAGTGAGAGGGGAAAAAGAGGAAAATGAAGCAGTAGGGCTTGAGATGGTTGGGCTAGAAAGAGTTTGTAGTAGCGAATGTTCAGGAGTGGCCAGTTGAGTAAACTGTTTGCTTATAGCTGCCACTTTGTCAGTGAAGAATGAGGCAAAGGTGTCAGCTGATAGATTGTTGGTAGGAGGTGGAGATGGAGGGTTGAGCAGAGTTTTGAATGTTGAAAATAGTTTCTGAGAGTCAGTAGAGCTGAGAATTTTGTCAGAGTATAAAGCTTTCTTTGCGTCAGTGATGCTGACAGAGAATGAGGACAGTAATTCATGAAATTTCAATTGATCACCAGTATTTTTTGTTTGCGCCATTTCCATTCTGCAGCTCTAAGATTGGTGCGTAGCGACCGGAGGGAATCATTAGCCAAGGGTGCGACTGAGAGGATCTAGCAGGTCTAGTGGCTAAAGGGCACAAGTTGTTAAGACAAGAGCAGAGTGTGGAGCAGAGTGACTTGGTGGCATCATTCACTTCATAAGCAGAGAATGTGCTGAGAGATGGAAGAGTGGAGGCAACAAGAGAGGAGAGGTGGTTGGGTGCCAGATTGCGGAGGTTGCGGCGGAATGATAATGATAAATGACCCGCACTTGTATAGTGCCTCTCAGAATAAGGACTCCAAAGCGCTTTACACTACAGTGTATCATTCATCCATTCACACACACATTCACACACTGATGGTGATGAGCTACAATGTAGCCACAGCTGCCCTGGGGCGCACTGACAGAGGAATGAGACCACTGGGGAAGAAGCAGTGGACCTCCCTTGTAGGGTCGTCCTGAAATGGATGAAGTAATGATCGGAAAGATGCAGCGGTGTGACAGAGATTGTGTCTATGGCACAGTTTCTGGTGAAAAATTAGGTCAAGTGCTTTTCCAGCTTTGTGTGTTGGAGGACTTTGTACTAGTTTTAGATCAAATGATGACATTAGTGACAGGAAGCCTGATGAGCTGGGATTGTCCAGGTGAATATTCATGTCTCCAAGGGCCATTGTGGGACAGTCGTGCTCAGGAATGGAGGAGAGCAGAGTGTCGAGTTCATCAAGAAAGTCTACGAGTTGACCTGGTTGGCGATATATGACAACCAAAAAGAATTTTTTCAGTACAGTTACCTGGATGGCATGGTATTCAAAGGAGTTGTATTTAGTGATGGGTAGCAACTGACTGTATATCCATTTGTTGGAAATTAACATGCCCGTTCCACAGAGGTGCGAATCTTCACTTGTCTCCCGATTCGATTCAATATCCCGATGCATCACGATTATTTCATATTGATTTGTTTTCATCGATAAATAGAAGATGTCAGATAATTGCTTTTTATTCATTATTTTTTTAATCAAAAACATAATTGACCCAACCTGCCATCCCTCAAAAGCTCTCCATTCACAACAGGTTAGGACAAAACATTTTAAACATTTAAGAAGATTTAACAAAGTAAAACAATCCGTTTCCTCGTTCAACACCACGCCTCAGGCTGAGAAAAACACGCTTTGCAAAAACTCACAAAATCTAAAAAAGGACTGAAAACCTACAGGACACATCATGTAATAATAAAATACATAACGGGTTCATATATGAGTGTTTAATGTCTCTGAGAAGCTTTAGAGTCAAATATTTATGCTGCAGTTCAACGGTGTCAGAACCAAATGAAGTGTGTGACTTAGCTTGTTATTTTATTTGAACCCAGTGGTTCATTTCTGAAATGTTGGAGAATGAACCAAGTTCTGTTTGATGCAGAAAATAATAAAACATAAAACAAATTCTACACTTCCAATAATATTTAAGATGTGTGTTTTATTCTTTCTGATAATAACACCAGCAGAAGGCTGTGGGCTGGATTAGGATTAAATTACCCAGCTG